CAAATTGTCCCTGAGGGCGTCCTTCTCTTATTGAGCAGCGCAGCTAAAAGGAACAGCCTTCCAGAGAGAGATAGAAAGTGACAATCACTGACATTTTCACAGCATACTGTGCAGCTGCGTTTCATGATACGGGACAAAGAAGTCCAACTCGACCGCAGTAGAAGAGCATAGGATGTGTGAAAGCAGAGATTGTGTTCTGCATTACAGGAAATCACAGCAGTATGAAAGAACGTTGTCGGTCATATCGAAAAACAATTACAGGCATGTAGATTTTAGTGATGGGAGTTATGGCTCCGTCCCTTTCATTCAACTCTCTCTTTACACATCGTCATTTGACACGTTATTAATATTTTCACATACATGTAATGTTGCACCTTGGTTTAGGTTGGTCTAACACACTGCTAACCTGCGTAGATGCATCTTTAGCAATTTCTGCAAAGGTACAAAAGCTCATAATTGTGCCTAAGTACAGTACTCTTGCAAATGTGCACTCGGATTGCTCTATTAAGTGCACCTCTGGTCTTTTCAATATTTCAATTTATTTTTGATTTAAGCTGTTCAGTGATTTTTTTTAATTCTATTTTATTTTATTTATTTCCCCCCTGTTCCAGTCATGAACCATTCTGAGGGCAGAGAAGCCGTTTGTTACACATTGGTTTTCCAATGAATTGCCTCCATGCCTTAATGTTCTGTTGTGCCTGCTTCAGTAGAACGTCAACCTCCACAGGCTCCGATCCTTCACACCGTTGTAAGTGAACGGAAAGTAGTTTGGAGCACTGAGAAAATGTAACCACTGTGGGGTAGTGTTTCTCTTCAGAAGAACCGTGCTACGCTGACAACTGTGTTCTTAAAGAAACTTTTGGCCTTATAATGAAATGTTAAATAGCTTTGGACCTTAAGAAGTGCTTGTTGGCATATCGGCTTAGAAGACAAAGACACACTTTTAAAATCTGGTTTGTTTTATTTCCTTTATCTAATTTACATCCTCACAGACATAAATGTTTCAGCTAAACTACATATTGTTGAAACAATGAAAACAATAAAGCACAGTTTAGTGTGGAAGCATTATTCATGAAAACAGCTGAGTGGAACAATTCACCATATTTAGGCAATACTATATTTCATGACCAAAATTAGTTTTGAAGGCAATCTAATATTGTTTTCTGTATTTGTATTATGTCATGTCTTCACATTGCTTTCATCACTTCACAAGTTTGAATATTTCACATTCCAAAAAAGGAATAGTACTGTTTTTCAGTGGGATTACTTCAGGAAACCCTGCTCCTCACTGTACGTTTTGATCCCTATCAATTGAAACGTTAATAGCAGTATTTTATACAGCTGATCCTTTTCTATATTTCAGGGAACATGCACATTAAAGCAAAATGGAAGGTTTCTATAGGACGTCCTCTGTGCGGCCACATTTGATTCCTTATTACACAATGTACTACCTAGATTCAAAACGCCTGACTAGTTGAGTCAGTGTTTCATTTTTTCACCCCTTTAAACAGGACAGGTTTTAGAGTAGAAACCTCACTTTATTCATTTAGGTCAAAGGTCAAGGCTGTTTAAGTTATTATTGTCACTGCTCACTGCCTCACTTTTAACTGGAACTCTCTGGAGAATGGGATTGTTTGTCACTGTGGATTCAGTATGTAGGTCCAGAATGCCTTCCGGCTTTCTTACCTTCAAAAAAAGATTTTGAACTTTAATTAACAGCAAAACAACATGCATTTTCGCTCAAGGAATAATAAAAAGCCCCCGTATTGCAGCGTACCAGCGTGCAAAGCGGAGACCTAGCTGTGTGAAGTTACAATTAAATATGTTGTGACATGGACTTGTATTATTTTCACGTTTATCTAACTCACCTTCTGAAAAAGACATGAGTTAATTTTCCTTCAACAAAAGCTGTACACTGTACGCTACAGTGGGGTTGATTTGAGTGGCCATGATTGATGTCATGCTGTAAACCACCCCACTGATAATGTACTGCTTGTAAACCAACCCCAGTCTTCGTACATGGTGCAGGTGTGCAGTGTGCCTCTGGCTGCAAGAATACCAAACATAGTCACCACACCCTGTGCACCTTTTGCTCTGTCTGGTTGACTGCCCATTCCCCCTTGCACCATTGATTATCTCATGATGTCAAGGGTTTGAGATGCTCTGGATGTCAAATGCTATAAGTGTGAATTTGTAAGTGGTGTAAGAGCTCTTCAGTCACGATGGAAACGATCTTGGAAAAGAAGATGAGGCCGTGGCAAGATCACTGAAAGAAATGATGTATAAGAGGAGAAATGATTTGGGTGTTCATGACATGCACCGAATGAAGAGGTCTAGTTGGTGGATAGACACAAGTGTACAAGTGCGCCTTTCTGGCTGGTGTGTTGGTTTGATGTCCCATTTTATGCTTGCAAACCGCTCTTAACCACGATCGTAATCTCTTCAAATGTATCTGCGAGTGTGCATCCATTGTAATGTGCCTGCAACAGGTTACCTTCTAAAGCAAAATACTCTCACATGAATGTAATTCTTACACAATGCAGTTGGTCTACTCTGTGGTTCACATTTTAGTGGTAACTGATACTATCACTTCCACAGCAATGTCAATACATTAAGCTCCTCCGTCAAGCTCCTGAAGTTTGCAGATAAAATCATCCTCATTGGACTCATTTTGGGTTGTAGATTTTAGGAAGAACGCAGGATCTTCTATTCCTTTAGTTTATATTATACATATATATATAATACTGTATATTTAAATTGTAAATTGAACATGTCATATTTTGTCTTCTTTGTCTTGTTGTCTCATTGTCCAATGTTGTGCTCCAACCGCCATGCCAAATTCCTTGTATGTCTAACATACTTTGGCAATAAATGTTCCTGATTCCTGATTCTTTGTCAGACGTCATGTCAGACCTACCAAACCTGCAAGTATCACTGATTCTTCAAACGAAGCATCCGGTTATCTTCATGTACAAATCATTTGCAGGAAGGTCAAGAATGTAAAAGATCTGTTTTAATAATTTAGTTTTTACGCCTTTGTCTTAGTGTGAGCCACAGAATCACGTTAAACTAGATTATTTTACAAGCATGCAAGATCTTATAAACAGAATCACTGACAATTTGACTGCTGTATTTAGTCTACATGTCCCGTTACTAAAGAACACTACCTATGTATTGCTTGATGGTATTTGCTTAATGTAATCTGCTTTCTTTATTAAATGTCTGCTTTTACATTCATTTTTTGCATTGCTACCATCTGAGTCGGGCCCTTTAAAGATTTTTTAAATGTCAATCAGAAACATTATGGTTTAATGTCTTCTTGCTAAAAGGCCTTTCATGGTTATTGATGATTAATACACCTTCTTATTAATGTGCTTTCCTGTGTAATGTGGGTTGAAAGGAGGAGGCAATAGCTAACCCTGAAAACAACGTTATGCAATCCCTAGGATCTCCATTGACACGGCATGTACAGATACCTGGATTATCAGCGCATACTTAATGCGATCTCCACTGAACTCTGCAGATTGTGAATCTACCTTGTCGAAATATTTACAAAGTCAATTATTCACCCCATAAGATTAGTGAACACGGCAACTGTTCAATGGAATGGTAGCATTAGGGTTGTAAGTTAAAGCCACTGAACTTTAATTTCCAATATGTGAAACTTTAGACTTTGGTTCCATTACAGGGGAATTTAGTCTCCTTTTTAATACACTTTGTAAATTGCCTTCTATTGCCTGTTACTCCTCAGATTAATATTTTACGTTATAAAAACATGTGATGAGATAATTGAATGTGATGCATTGGCCAAGCGTATGAAAGAAGGCAGACATAACAGCATGGACCAGTTCATTGGTGCTCATTATGTCACCAAATCAGAAAGTTTAGTCCATTTTGCTACCAATACTGCTATTTTTCTTACATAACACTATATATAGCCTATACTGAAAAGCTGATTGTTGCATGCTACAGTATAAACAATTTAACACCCTGTAAACTACGGTACACATTGCTCGTAATACCATGTTTTACTACTGTATTTTTTCCCATGCACGTTACATTATAATTGACAATTGATTTATTTTCGTTGTGATTTTGCCTCAATGATCAGATCATCTCTTACACTGATGGACGCTATTAATGGCTGCATAACATGTTTAACTCTCAGGAACAAGGCTGAAGCGGAAAAGCTGTTTGTTGTTTTAAGGCCACAGAACACCCAAGGAGCCCCAAATACATGGTTAGTAGAGATTTGCACAATTTGAGTAGTTGAATAAAAGTTGTGCTTAATTACAGCACTTGACAGAGTATTCAGTGGTGGAGTAATTTACTCAAGTACTGCAATCAAGTACAATTAAAATGTACTTGTACCTATGCAACTTGTACTTCTACTCCACTTACCGCAGAGGCAAGTATTGCATATTGTACTCCTCTGCATTAGTACTTTGATGTTACAATTGTCCTGTCCAATAAAAAACATGTATTGCAAAATTTGTTGAACCAATTTATTAATAAATGACATAGAAAAATATGATGCATTACTATAGATTAAACTATCAAACTATCAAAATGTATTTGTAAAACCATAAAGATCTGGAGTAATGAGATGCAACATGACACTTTTCAGCAAAATTAATACTTTTCTTGATGTATTTTGAAGAAGAAATTGTGTATCTCTTTGAGTGTTCGTATAAGTTTGAATGCATAACTTTACTATAATAGGGTATATTTTACCAGACGCCTTTCCTTCTTAAAACAGCTACTTCTAGCAATTGGTACCTTTAACTCAAACAAAGGCTCTGAACTTTCCTGCTTCCACCATCCCAACAACCCACTACTTTTGAAACCCAGCTGTTTCAGAAGAAACCACCTAATGCATTAAAAAGAAATTACCTAATGCATTAACCCCCCTTACGGGACCCCCACACACTTGTGCAAACAGTGGGCCCCCCCCCCCCCCGTCCTCCCCTCCCCAGCCAGCGGGCGTGCAGCGGCTGGCACTGGGTCGCGGTGGTGCAGGTCTGGCGTGTTGCACAGGCCCAGTGCTGCAGGGTGTCCGGTAGGGTGCCTGCAGAGCCACGAGCATGCTGCTGGTGTCAGGAGCAGAGGAGCGGAAAACTGTCGGTGCTCTTCTGGGAGGAAACAAACACGCGTTTCACCGCCACCGAGTCAGCCGCTTAGCGACGCGTTAGAAGACACCGCTCGGTGTGTGTCGTCGTCGTTGTTGTTGTTGTTGTTGTTGTTGTTGTCGTATTTAACGGGACAGCGCGCGAGACGCAAAGGTAGGCTACGGCTCCTGCCCGCGAGCTCCTGCTACTTTACTCCCAGGGACTCGTACGAAACACACGCGAACACACCCGGGGGCTGAGCGATGTTCCGCGGGGAGGTGAGCCGCTCGTCCCCGAGCACGACGCGCGGGTTTTAACGCGAATACGTTTACGTGGATGTTGTTGTTGTTTTTTTCTTTTCTTTTGTTTTTTTTTCGCGGCGGCGAACGTTCGGACGCTTTTGTTGTTTTGAAAACGCGTCGGTTAAAGGCTTCGTCTCTCCATGCCTCAACCGACCAACCCGCACGAGAAGAAGTCGACGTCCGGAATAAATTAAACCACAAAGAAAAGGCCCTTCTCCCCCCTTTTCTCCCCCACCGTCATCGCGTGCACCTGAACCGGACGAGGGGACCATGCGCGTGGATTTGCTCTGGATGTGTTTGTGGTGCTTCCTTCGTCCCGGTGCCGCCGGTCAAGGGCAGTCGGCGGCCGTGTGTTCGCCCTCATGCAGCTGCGATGAAGACGGCGGCGCGGACTGCTCCGGGAGGGGGCTGACCACCGTCCCCGCCGGGCTGCGGGCGTTCACCTACTACCTGTGAGTACCGGGGCTCATCCTCCGGGGAGCACGACCCCGGAGGCTCTCTGCGCGCGTGCAAACGCCTCCGCGTAAGAAGGCCCGTGTTTACATGGCGAGTGAAGCGTGAGCGTCCAACACCAGGCGGTGAACTTTTCTGCTAATGGGCCAACGCAGGGGGATATATATATATATATATATATATATATATATACTACACTAACATCTTGATTAAGCCATATATATATGGCTTAATCAAGATGTTAGTGTGGGGGTTTTAGTCGTCGTTCTTGTGCCGTAATACTCAGGGTTCAGTTAAATATTTACACAGATGTACAAACTTTCTGTTGCAGCCAACAAGTAAATCAGCTTACAGTTTGCTCCCATGTTTTGGTAGTAATGCGTAACGTAACACCGCATCTGGGGATTGTAGACAGTATCCGTTATTCAATCAATCTATCAATCTTTAGATAACTGTAGACGCATTTCTATAGATTTATAGAAAAGTTATCTGCAGTCCTTTTGGATATTGATTATGTATTTATTTCTAAGCAAAATGAGTAACCTTTTCTGATTTCAGGATATCAAACTTGTAGATTTGATTCTTTATCGTATATATCATAGTAAATTGAATATGTGTCATGGATCGTCTTGTACTCTTGGCCATTACAATAGACGTGTCCAACTACTTGTTGCAGATGTTTATATGGAACAAAAAGTGAGAAACCCCTCGAAACATTCAATATTGAGAAGATAGAGCCGACTTGCTGTCTACCTATATTTATTTTCTTTCTCTAAAAACCTAATCCAAAATATATTACATTTACATAATGAGTTTCAGCTCTAAACACGTGTCACCCCCCCCCCCCCCCCCTCTTTATTTATGACCAATGGGATTTGGGTTCGCAAACAGCATCCAAACGTCTCCTCAAATCTGTTGTCCAGCAGCAGGTTGCATCAGACACTTTAGTCGGTCAGTTTGGGAAATGTTATGTGACTGAACCACAACGTAAAGTTACGAGTGTCGAGTTCAACATCAGGGCCGGATTTGGTTGAGTAATATGGAGTGGATCACAGCCAGCATTGTGTTTAATACAAAGTAATTATGAGGGCCATTAATACATTCTCGCCGCGAGTCTGATTCAGAGTTTAACTTCTGTGTCAGGCAAGGGCACACGTTTCCTTTCATAAGAAGTGGCGCACGTGTGCAGCAGGTAGGTCTGATTTTTACGGCGTGGTGCAGATACAGTTGATGATTGCCCCATGAAGAAACTCCTCAGTTTGTTGCACAACCCCCGAGTTAATCATAAACCAAAGTAACCACCATGGAAACAGCATTCAGAACACCAACCTGTTGTGGCATTTCGTTATTACTGTAATTCTCCCCCAAAAAACAAATGAAAGGAGTTACGACTTCATTGAAATGTGGAAAATTGGGTTAAGCCTGTATTTCATAGTCACCGAACCTTTTTAAAGTTTTACGGTTTACTCTCGTTTGAAGTAACCTCTGTGCTGTTTTGCCAGCTTTTTTAAGAATGGTGGCCAAATTCCTGCTACTCCAATACCAACATGTTGTGCAACTTTGATTCACCGTTGGTTTAAGTCAACAGAAGTAGTGGATACACATCCCAGGTTCTCAAGACGTGTCACAATAAGGTCTACGGCTTACAGCTGAGACGCCCACCATCATTCTTCCTTATTATGGGCAGTCTGACATCCAGATCGCAACCCAATTATATCTTAATCCTTTGTGGATTCTCTCTGGGCCATATTATTATTATTTTTTCATCCGGGTGCTGCACATGTGTGTTTAAATGCTCGGCGATAAGTTAAAACTGCCTCACAAGACTCTCTTCACAAATATGTGAAAGGTTGTTTGTCCCTCTCTCTGTCCTGCTCTCATTTGTTCTCCTGGTCTCTTGAACTTAAGTTGTCCTCTCCCACTCCCTTCGTCTTTTGTATGGCGAGCACTGGGGTTAGGGATCATGATGGATTAGTGAGACGTATCACAGCTGCAAGGCCTCCTCTCAGGGCCAATGGAGTTTGCTGATGTGTAAAGGGGGAAAAAAATAAAATCATACGAGTGTTTTGTCATTGCAACATTTGAACTGGACTACACAAGTTTGTTTCGCACACATCGGTCATCGGTTTGATGGTGAGATACGGACAAAAGTAGCGGCAACAACCGGAAGGAAGGTGCAACTTTTGTAACACTGCTCGGAGACCAAGAAGTCCTCCATACAAGGACAAATATTTCCGGCCATCTCTATTGTTGCCTCCCTACCGATGATCTGCACCTTTTACAATAAATCACGTGACGAGGTTGAAGTGGACCCTCGCCTGCGGTCCGAAGGGGCTTGAGTTTTGGCATCTGTAATGGAATCAGTCCTGTTACAGACAGATGAGATAGAAAAAAGGACCCCCCCCTCCCCCCTCAGCCAGTAACAAAGCAAACACTCCTTTTGAAGGTATGTACCGTACCTGCCACAGAGTCCCTGCACGCGATACCGTGTCTGTGTGGAGTCCTGTGCGTTTTCAGAGGGTTACAGATTACGTCTCAGTCGTGTTTGGTCTTCACATACCTTGAAAAAGGTTGGGACTCGGAGGGGAGGGCCGGCGTCGGGGGTCTTGCACTCTGCTGCTGGAGCTTGCCGGCTCCACCGTCGGTGCCCCCAATCCATTTTTAACTGAATGATACTTTTGTTCTTGGTCAGCAGAGGTGAAAGGAGCCAGTCAGTGGTTCCCACTCACAAACAGGATGACTTGTGGATGGGAGAATGTTAACGCCCCCCCCCCTCTCTAAGTCCCCAACACTGTCCTCCACTTACAGACCTATTCCCTTCCCCCCATCTCCCAGTTTCTAGCTGCTAATGGCCGCTGGTTTTCTGAATCTTGTGCCAGTATTTAAAAAAACCAAAACATTGCCATGCTAGTTAGTTTTTACATTTTGCTAAGTGAGTTTTCCAAATAATAGCTTGAAATTCATGATACTTGAAATTCAATTTGAAACCTAAAGCAATTGTTTGTGATCTTGTAACATCTATCCTACAGGTACACTTAGGGAGGCAACGTGTATTCAGATAGACTGTAAATAACTTTTTAGTTTAGTATTTTCTGAAATGGAGCATTTTAAATCCCACCATTGATCCACAAAATAACTGCACAGCCTCACAATCTCTATTTATTTAGTATAATAAAGATAAGTTAACTTCTAAATGTGTGCATATTAATATACTTCATATTAACTGTTTGATCAGCCACTCTATGTCTGATAATGCTGACACAATTTTGACATCTTTGCATAGCGATGCTTATTACAGCATACTGTACTCATGGTGTAATGCTGGAAGGCCTGGGAGTGTGTTGCCACAACAGTCTAATTATTGGTTTCACACAGCATCGCTGATTGTATGTTTGGAGGAAATTATGATGCATTGCACAACTGGCCTGATGTGATTCATTATTTGCGAGGGTGATGCAGCTGCTGTTGTTGAAAGAAAGACGTCTAGTTTTCAATCAATGCCTGAAAAAAAAATTGAGAAAAGGTCAATCGAATGGAACTTGGTAAGATGTTGCATTTTGCGATAGCGGTGTTTTCCCTACCACAGCGGGGTATTGAAGAGATTAAGTTTTATACAAAACGGTAAAGGGGGAGAGGATTTGAGGAGATGTTTTTTGTGAAGCATACGCATGTCGATACAGTCGCTTTATCTGCCTTCTGGTCCTCATTATAGGCCAGAACGTCAGATTGTGGTTTACTCAGACTCTCAGGATCTTTGTCGTGTGCATTTGTTTTCTAGGAATGCGTTAGTTTTGCCCGCTCTGCCACGCAGGCTTGATTTGTGTGCTGCACAGATTGTTGTCCTTCTAGTCCGGTGGGAGTCATTGAACTCCCCTCACGTCACTGTGGTTTCTCCTTTCTTGGCCTGAACCTCCGTCTGACTGCTTTTAGTTTTGGTTTGGTGAACAGCTTTGTGAAGGTCTGCTGGCGATAGCGGAGACGTTATGTTGTCAGGTTGTCTGTCCGAAGGTTTGTACACTGCGGCTCAGAAACGCCCCGAAGGTAGTCTCTTTGAATCTGATGGAAACCTCCACCTGGATGCAAGATGGCCACTGATTACATTTTAATGGTCAGAAGTTCAGATCACTGCGACCGGAAGTCCCGTCCGTCCCGTCCCCGTGAAAGCAATGTCCCAGGAATGTCTTGATCCCACTTAAGGACGAACTGATTAGATTTCCATGGTTGATGTGTAAATTCACTTTGACTTCATATTCCTTCACTTTGCCATAACTTAAGCATGTGTCTCCTAAATTTTGAAATATTCACACAAATGGCTTTAAAAATGTTGAATTGAGGACTTTTTGGAGGGACGTAAATTGACTGATTGTCGTTGGCAAACAACGGCAAAGCTGTAAATGTAGTTTGCTATCACAAAGTCTACTGTGTTCTTTGAAATAGATTCACGCAGATTCCCAACAAACACTTTTTTCTGCTGCACAGGCGCACAGCACTTTAGAATTATCAAGCATGATGGGATGATTATCAACAACTAGACTGTCTAGTTGTGTCATTTTGTACTTACACGCTGTAACCAGGTCAGGACACCATGTGCAACAGGCTGCAGATATGTGCTTAATTTCTGTGTATTACGCTATAATAATAATACTTGTGTTAATATGTGGAAGGGAATGCTTCGTATTTCAATTTTGTCCAATAAATTGTGATGACCGCAGGTCAGGACTTTGAAGTTGCGCATGCATCTTTGGTAATGATTTAGAAAAATGATTTGATTTAGTTTTCTGCACATCTTTTAAATCTCCCGTTGGTTTAAATGAAGTGTCACACAGTAACAACAGAGATCAATGGGCACGGTCGCCGCAGGGCAGAAACCCAACAGATTAGATGCACTACATGTGTAGACTCATGACTAAAACCTTCATAAGCTCAAAAGGAGATAAATGTCAGTTGGTCTGAACAATAGCTGTACAAGACGCAGTGTATTACCTTTTTCAATTAAGTTGTCATTTACCCCATTTTTCATTCATGACACTTCAGTGTTTTAAAACTAGTATGTAAGTTTATTTTGTAGGCTTTTTTTTGTGTTGACTTACTCTGAAGTTGACTCGTGGAATATATTCAGCCTCATTTTCCTTTTTATCAAAGCATACCTCCAACTCCTGAGATGCTTTCTGTGCTTCCCGCCAGAAAGCAGCCGAATGGCACATGGGATAGAAATCTACCGATACTTGTTTGTAGAAGCGTTTCGGCTCCAAACCATTTATCACAGCTGCATTTTTAGTGTCCCCTCCAATCTATCTTCGCACGGACAGGCCAGGAACCTGATGAGTAAAGCAGCCAGACACAGAGGGAGGAAGTGTGATCGAATGGTGCAGGCCTCTCGGTCTCCCCAGCCCTGCATGTGGTTCAGACCAGTCAGCAGTCTGCAGTAGATTTAGTTAAACGGTTTAAAATGTGGTCAGGGATGTGTTCATCTGACCACTAGTGGTGGCGGATCTGCAGCAGTGGTTGGAAAGCTCCACCAACGATGTTGTCTGGGTAGAAACGAAGGTTAAGGACTGGTTGGCTGTCGATGGAAGCTTTGTTGTAGCTGCACAGTCTGCGAGCTGTGTGGTAATTGGATAACCAGGTAAGTGGAGATGGGACACAGGTCGCAGTGATGATGAGGGTTCTGTCAGGGCCCGCCTTTTAAGGCTCCTGTGTGTGTGTGTGTGTGTGTGTGTGTGTGTGTGTGTGTGTGTAATTGGGACTGCAGCGGAAGGGCAATATGATCCTTCTAGGATTCGGGGGCCCACACACAAAGTCCTCGAGATCTGGCAGTGAAATTCAAGATGGCCAGTTGGAGAGTGTGAGGGGGGCCGGGGCTTGCTTAATTTGTGAATCCTGAATGTTTTTTCAGTCTTGATGTGTCCCGTGTCTTCACGTATGGGTGGGGAGGGGGGGGGTTGTTGTCGATTCATAATTACATTAGGGATCCAGGGCTGATTTTGCTCACAGTGGTCTCCTAAATGGACCTGAGATAGCATGTTTGTCCTCCTTTAATGGGGAAGGTGCCTTGCTTCAACACATTTCCAATTGAAAATACACGTCTTTTGAAACGTTAAAAATAAAATTTAAATAAAAACCTCAACCCATATTAACGTTGTGGGGAAGCAAATCAAGCGCAGTGTGCATATTTGTCATGCTGCTGCATGCCTCTCTTTACTTGAAAGTTAGTTGGAAAGAATCAAGATCCCTGAGGCTAGAGACAAGGGTGTTTTGAAGGAATTCATGCAGGCACGGTCAAAAGACTTGAAACTGCCAATAAGGGATGTGAGACACATTTACCCAGTTGGTTGTATGCAGCAAAAAAATGGTGATGTTAACATATAGTAACTGCATCCAACGTGCAAGAGGATTATGTCAGTTTGTAAGACTTTTTGCAATACTTTTTAAAGTTTAAAAGGGCTTCACAATTACAAAAGCTCTGTTATAGAAATAATAGTTTCAATGTGTTACGTTGTTGAGAATAAAACATCAAGCATCAATGAAAACCCTGTTGTAAAAAAAAAGAAAAGTGTACTCAAATGATCTGTGGCTTGTTTAAAATGTGATGTTTGTTTGAATTAATTCAGAGATTGTGCTCTTTCTAAATTATTATTATTATTATATTATTATTCTTCCCACAGTGACCTGAGTATGAACAACATCACGGAGCTTCCAGCATTGGTATTCAAGAACTTCCCCTATCTTGAAGAACTGTGAGTACATGCCCAGTTTTTTCTTCTCTTGCTAATGATCTATTTACTCTGTACGATGTTGACATGAGGGCTTATGATATGCACCTGGGAATGTGAGATTGTGCTGCAAAGCACACAGTATAGGTGCACACCGTGCCCTTCTTCTCAGCTGAAGAAGATAAGCGCAGCATTACGCCAGGTTACGAATCACTCAACCATTCATGAATTGAACGAGGGCGGCTACAAAAGGTGCAGCAAAGGTGAGGTGAGACGACGTGTATTGAAGAAACGGTCACGTGACATCCTGTGTGGATTCTTGCTCTTGGGAGATTATAAGGGTGGCAACCGCACAGCTGCGCTCTGGGGCTTTGTTGAGCGGCATACATCTAATCTTAGTGGGTGCTTGTTATTTCTTTCCTCTTTAAACACTCTGTCTGGCTCGGGGCTGCTGGGAGTCCGAGATAAAATCTGTCTACCTGATATCAGGTAACATGCGGCCCCGAGAAAGCAAAATGACCAGCGAGTGAACAAGCTCCAGCGGTTCCGGCTCCGCTGGGCCTTTTGTGGCTTTGTTTCTTCGGCCCTCGTGCGCCTTTCAGCCGGCCGGCTCTTCAACCCTCTTCTTTTTCCAAACACTACTCCAATCTGCTTTATTTTTCTCGAAAAAAGGCAATTGGCTCTTCGTCGCATTGTGTGTAGGAATGCAAGGCAGGAAGGAAGAGGGCAAAACAATTGTTTCCATGGCAACTTGGCTGAAAAAAAGAAGAAAAAGAAAAAATACACAGTCTCCCTACAACTCCTTTCTCGTCTGAGGTCATCATGATGGATGGGCTGTCGTCGGCGTGTCATCCATTGACATATACCCTCTGCTCACCCTCTGTGTTTGTTTAACCTTTTTTTTTTTCTGGGAACAAATCTGCAGGCTTGTCTCGGTGAACTTTGCTAGATGACTTTTTCGCTCCAGGGCTGCAGCAGTGTCAGTGAACCAGAGCATGGGCCCTGAGGGCAAAGACAAGGAGAGAAAGAGTTGACATAGAAGGAGATCAGGAGAGAAAAGAAAGTGGGACGTCCTCACACAGGACATGAGCGGAGACGAGGGAGGAATATTCCCTCCTCCGTTGTCACGCAAGCTCCTCTGCTCTCTTTCTTTCTTGCCGAAGGCATCACAAAGCTCCGCAGACGCGTTGACAGATATTCTCTGTCTCCTTTGCAGTTTGTTTATAGTCTTGAAATGACTTACGACCGAGGCTCTCTACTTGTCTTCAGTAAAATGCAGTAATGACATCTAGGTCCAGATGTGGTGTTGTTCTTTTAATCATGTGGTATAATACATGTGCTATAATTAGATTTGTATTCTAATCTGTAATGAATTTGACTAAAAATTCCATACGAGTATAATTGAACCTTTAGCACAATAACCATATCGTAGCATTAACTGGGTTTAGATAGGATGATGACATCCTATTGAGAATTGTGCCAGTATGCATATTTTATTATGACTGTTATTTCATTGTCTGCTTGGGCTTTGGGCCCCTGAAATGCACCTTGGGAGTCGTAGTTAACATCTACTCCAAATTATTAATGTACATTACTTTTTTTTTTTTTGTCAAACAACAATGTACTTCCAACGGTGCCACACAAGTTTTAATCTTCTCAGTTCATTCAACCAGGAGAGTGTCGTCCTGATGGGAAAGACTTTTACTTCTGGAGCCAGAGGCACCTGAAATAAATCCTCTCACTAAACTGTTACATAGTTTTGGGAAATGGTGATAAGAATATGTCTACATGGCCAACATAAACATAGGAAATATACGCAAGGCGACCTGTACCAACAAAAAGGTGTGCATCACATGTGGCAGCCTGCCGTGAGGGAGTGGTGCTTTTTTGCCACAGTAGCTTCCCAAAAAGAAAGGAAATCTGTATTTCGTTTCAGCAGAATTTGAATCCTGAATACCTTCATTTATTTGTTGACGTTAAATAATGTTTGTCGCCCATTTACTCTCAGAGTGAACTGAAGATTTGTCCGTGAATTTGCTATTGACAAAGGATGACCTGTCGGAGTGGTGTTGCCCAAGGAGAGGATTAAGTCTTTCCTCAATGAGATTTAAGAACATTCTTCTTTCCTTGTTCAAGCCTAGGGGGACATGTACTGAATTTGTTGAAAGATGCAAGAGGAGGAGAAGCTCCTGATGGAAATCTGAATTATTTGTCAAACCGTGTTTGCATGCGGTGCTTAGCGCCTTGTGACTTTGATTGCCTCATTTAAGTTGCGTAAGCTCTAATGGCATTAAGTCGATGTTAGTCAGTCGCTGTCAGTCACTGTATTTTTGGAAAGAACAACAGCTACAGGCAAGATTGGAGTTGTCTTAAATGTACTTTAGTCATGACTGTAGGAGCGGAGGACGGTCTTGGCATTGAAAGCTGTGGATGGTTCAGTGAGAGAAAACAGCTGGTGGCGCTGAATCCGAGGCTACGGCCTCCTGATGTCTCCGCAGATGTGACGTTTTTGTTTGCTGCAAGTTCAAGTCACGTGCTTCATGTTGTCCACCAACAGGGGATTTTAGAAGGCAATTACAATGAGTTTTCGTAGCATTAAAAAGCAGATAGGCAGTTTAGTTTGCAGACATCCAGAATTATTTGCATGACCAAATGGACAGATTAAAGTTAAATGAGCTAATCATACTTCTCATTTCACAGTTTTGCTACAAAAACGCGTCATGGTGAAGTAGTTTTGAGTCTGCATGAAAAGGACGCGGTCTTCTCACACAGACCTGAGCCGTGATTTTGGGCTCACACCAACTGCAGCTCTTTGCAGGGAATTCGTAGTGGTCCGACTCTTGTTGCAAAGTGATAAATGTGTTGCTAATCTCTAAGGACGTAATGCTCAGGGTGCACGTCCCAGTCAGCCAGTCCCATGCTTATTTACGCCCTTCCCTCTGGACCTCCTGTTCCCAACAGGAACGGGAGGTGAGCCCTTAGTCTAAAGTAATTCACGCATGGACTAAAGAAGCTCGCCACTGACAAATGCTACTAGGAGAAGACTCTGACGAAGCTGGCCTTAGTCTAAAGTAATTCACGCATGGACTAAAGAAGCTCGCCACTGACAAATGCTACTAGGAGAAGACTCTGACGAAGCTGGCCTGCTTGTGCCAGCCTCAGAGGGCTGAATCAGTTTTTCATACACTGAATAACAATGGTTGGGAGGTTCAGTGAAGGGACCTAAAGAGGTGACATCCAGGAACAACTCTAATCTCCTGTGACAACAGGCCATGGCACAGACACATGTCGTTGACGCCCCAGGCCTCATGTTCAGCTGAGCGCTGGAACCTTTTCTACTTGAGCGCAGGATAAAGGAGGGTTCTTTAAATGGCTTTAATCAGAAATGTGTCTCGCAGCTTTGAAACATTTGAGAATTGCCCTGAATATATTTGCGACTCTTTCTCTCTCCGCAGACGACTTGCAGGGAATGACCTGTCATTCATCCACCCTGAAGCCCTCTCTGGACTGCATCAGCTCAAAGTCCTGTAAGCATGTTGCCACCACCGCCGTGAACACACACACACACACACACACACACACACCTACCTGGTAAGTACTTCAGTTTACCGTCAGTAATGGCCACAATAAGCATACTCATACATTTATATCCACCCTGGGAGACTAAATGCCTTTTTACATCCCTGCCGTCACTATATGGGGCTGTGAAAGCACAGAAATAGCTTACAATTCCTGTGAAAAAATGAGTTTTGCATAATTTACATGGGGCTGCACACCCTGGTGTGCTTGCACAGACTCGAACACATTGTGCAAAACACACCCTGTTTATCCTGCAACGGGACAAAAGTTCAGAGTCCTATTGATCTACAGGTGAGGTCTTGGTGACATGACTGAAAATACAAACACATGGAGGCATGTTATATGCTCATCATATCAAGTGAATTACATTACAACAACATTGTTTCTTGTAACCACGCAAGTGAAAGGGAACAAGTGTTCTGACTATTCTTACAAATACTGAAACCGTGTAAACATGTACACAATTTTATAGACTTTTATAAGTGAACATGAAAAGGGGATCCTTCATAAATCACCTGCCTAGCAACAGTATCACGAATAAAGAAAACTCCATGAAGGCCTCCACGAAGCTCCCTGACATATTTGGCATTAATTGTGTCTGTATATGTTATGATATACACTATCGTGCAAGAGAGGGTAGTGATTTGAGATGAAGTTGTCTTTTTGCCTTTTTCCTGCAGAATGCTCCAGAATAATCAGCTGAAGACTGTGCCCAGTGCATCCCTGAAGACTCTCCTTTCTCTGCAGTCTCTGTGAGTCCAATGCCTCGCACACAAACAAAGAACCTTGACTTCCAAGTGGACCTTTCCTTCCCGCATTTACTATATTAGGGAGGCACTGACTGCCAACTTGGGGCAATGATGTCACACCAATCACCTCATTTTGGACAGTTGCTCACAAAGATCATATTAAAAGCAACAGGAGTACAGTTTTTTTTAATCAACTAATGTATTTAATTGTCTGGCACTGAAAATCGGCTTAACAGATTTATGCAGAAATGGGTCTCTAGGCAACAGAGTTTATTTTGAGGTCACAGATTTCTGTAATACGAGATGCATTAAAGGTTTGTGTAAAGTTGGGTGACATCAGTATTTGGGCTTTAGCTGTGCTGATCATTTAAGGCAGTGTTTCGAATTGTCAAGGATATGTGTGTTGTATGTGTACTCCACTAAAAATGCCTCAATAACTACAGCATTGCTTTTTTTAACTCATCAGATGGATTACTGTCCATTTATGAAATTACTTTTTGTGAATGTGCCTTTTTAGCACGGTGGTGGACTGTGTTGAAAATGTGTTGACTTTCTGACTAATACAGTTTGTAATCGGGTATTTCTTTGCACCAACTAACATCAGATTTCTGCAGCTGACTAAATTCTTGTAGTTGGCCGTCGCTCAATAAGGTGGTTTAATATGTAACATTCCGTATGAATGCCATCGTACGAGAGTAAACACTTAGCTCTTCCTCCAAGTTGAGAAGAACCTTTGAAATCTCAAATCATTTACTCAAGATTTTTTTTTATGTCGTCCAGGCGCGGTTCCACCCGTAGGACATACTTTGCTCCCGCTGCAGTGTATGTTGTGCATGAAGCCGGGCCACAGCCCTGTGCAGATGTAGGTCAGCCTTATTCAGCAGATCTCTTCTTCACTTTGCTCTTCAGTTGGATTTTTGGAGTTAGCCGGAAACTTGTGCTTTTCCACGTGTTTACTCTCGACTGTGTCACAGTTTCCTGCTCGACTCGCCCTCAGTTTTTGCATCGTTTTTTTAGGCAACTATTAAATGTCAGTTTCAATGCGACCAAGATATGTACGAGCCTCTATTTGCCATCATAAGAAACCATTGGAGGAATTAATCCAGCTGGAGAAACTTGCTGAAAGTCCAGCTTTCAACTATTATCACCCCTCCATAACCCTCCCCTTGTCCCTTGCTTCCCATCTTCTTTTTTCATCTGCTTTTCTTTCTTTTTTAACAGATGTCTTTTCTCTGTGAGGGTTTTAAGGTCTGTTGCTGGAGTAATATGCTCTGACACAGCCAGTACTCGGTTTGTATAAAGTTTTAGAGAGCCGAATGTCAATCAAGACTATTTTCCTTCCAGCCCAGACACTTGAGGAATTTTGAGGGAGGGTGAGACGCTCAGTGAGGGAGGACAGCAGGAGAAAAAAGGCTGGTCTTGGTGAAAAGAACATTTGCGCATTCATAATTCTGTTTAAATGGAAAAGTCCTTTTATACCACCCAGCTATTGGGGTATTCCTGATCAGAATCAGCGTCACTGCTTAGTAGTACAAAAAGAAAACTATGGGGAAAAGAAATCAACCAAAAATCAGATTCAGCTTTTTACATTGTTTTTTTCTGCTCTTTGTATTCTAAGTATGGATGGAACTAATGTCCATCCTATGGATCTAGTGAAAAAGTACCTTTTCCTTGTTCCTCCGTTCTGCAGTCGGCTCGACGCAAACCACATCACTACTGTTCCAGAAGACAGCTTTGAAGGCCTTCAGCAGCTGCGCCACCTCTGGCTGGATGATAACAACCTGACGGAGGTCCCGGTCGGTTCTCTGAGACACCAGGCGAATCTTCAGGCTCTGACGTTGGCGCTCAACCGCATCTCGTACATACCAGACAACGCCTTCGCCAACCTTACCAGTCTAGTTGTGCTGTAAGTAAAGTAATGGCTTCTGTTCATCCGCATTGTGTCACGGTACAACCATTCGCTGTATGTATGCTGCATTCATGTCAGCCTTTGTCACAACGTGCAGGGTGAAAGAACCCAGTGCACTCAGCTGTATTTCACCTGCTTGAATGACAACTTTTATAATTACATATAATGTAAAAAAACATATCAGGAAAAACCTGCTTGAGTACTTTTTAAGGCTTTAATTAACCAGCAACACTGAAAGACAACATTCTCGTGTTGACTCAAATAATCTGAGGGAGTAGCTGGAGACGTGAAAGTCATTATGTGCCTCACTTTTTACCATCCAGTTATTAAACTATGACTGTGCTTGTTCTCTGCTCTAAATTAAATATTCTGTTCTTCCTAATTGTTTTTTTTTATGTATTATATGCATTATTCTGTCACCGCAAAGTACCTCTCGTGGTTTCCTGCCGTAGCTCTGAATGAATCCTCTGAGCGACTGCAAATCACATTCCAAACACAAACACACTGTAGTATTTATTTCCACTGCTTACAGTTATTAAGTCAACAAAACGGGGAGACACTAATGCCCTGCTGGGTTTCTGCATACACTTTTGCAGTGAAATATGCCAATGGGGGTTGAATGTTAACAACACTTTGAAAAAGTTACATTACAGGAACTGGTACAAATATGTGACCGAGTTTGAGCCTGGGATTGTTTCAAACCATTGACACCCACACACCGGCACAAGTACACACATTGAGTGGTATTGCTGCTGGGTTCACATAACACACGTATACAGTAGAGATACCTCAAGCACAAATCACACTCTTACTGTTCACAGTCTGTCTCATAAATGTGTGTGTAAAACTGCTTTTGCTTTCATAGGCATCTTCATAACAACAGAATCAAGGCGATAGGAGACACCTGCTTTTCTGGACTCGTGAACCTGGAGACACTGTGAGTGCACAGTAGTGTGTGTGTGTGTGTGCGCGCGTATCAGTCTTGAGTGTGTTTGCGCTTGTGTGAGTGTGTGCTAACGGCTCCCCACCCACCTCTGCTCCGGTCGTTCAGACATCATTGTGTCCACTTCCTCCCTTAATTGCTCTAAAGATAAGCATCATGTACTTTGCTCTATTTATCAAATTTGCCCTCCCACCGTTGAAACATGTTCCTGTGGCGTTCTTACCCCGTGGCAAACAGCTCCTGTACAACACGCATAGGCCCATATTCAAATTGTTAATGGCAGTTCTGCAACTGCTTGTAACGGCTTCTAGTGTTACGTTGTGTTTGTTATGTGAGGAGGGAGGCGGTTGAGCTGCTGGGAAAAGGAAGTCTCTGCTTCCCCAACATGGACAACTGCAGTTCAAATGCTAATCTAAACTTATTTTGTGAATTGTTGAACAAAACAAGCAATGGAAACGTTGAGCGTCTTTTCACATTTCATGAATTTATGAATGAATAATAGTAATTTTAAAAAGACACATTTCCATGAAACTTTAAATTAAGGATCAGTCTTGCATGGACATTGAGCATTTGTACTGGTTGGTTGTGCATTGGATATTGCTGTTAAATGTCTAATCTTTAGTTTTAATGTACCATTGACTAGTGGAATTCCTTTGTTAGGCCAAAATGCAACAACGAAGCGCTGACTTCCTGCATCTCTCTCTCTGTCATCCTAGAGATCTTAACTTCAACAACCTGATGGTTTTTCCTAAAGCAATAGCAGCCCTGGCCAAACTCAAAGAGCTGTGAGTATATCGTTCGGTTCCTCCTCCATTTTGTACCAACGCTAAAGCCAGGGACCAGTTCAACCTTTATTATTGTCTAGTTTTGATTTGGTTTAAAACACACGCCTATCTGAGAAAGTAGCTCAGAATTAGGGAAAGTAAAAACTACAGCACACAGGAAATAAAGAAAAACACTTTTCTCAACTGACAGGTCTTTTTCGCAGCATTACTTTGGGTATTTGTCAAGCATACGTTAACTTACTCACCAAGTCTCTTCACGCTGTGTCCTTGATGTCCTTCCTGCAGCGGGTTCCACAGCAACGACATTGCCTCCATACCTGAAGGGGCCTTCCGTAACAACCCCCTGCTGCGAACCATGTAAGGTCAAACTCACTGACGCCACTCAGAAAACCGGCACAGCACACTAATAACTCCGCTTTGCACTAATGATGCCATGGACAGTGTACAGTATGCTTTATGTTCAGCACAAATACAGTATAAGCGGACCCGGTGAGCCTTCACCAGAGGAATGTCCAGAAGATGGTGCCATTTTTGCATAGTACATTATTTAGTCTGAACTCTCCCCCTCTGCTCTCGCCTCCCTCCCAGACATTTGTATGACAACCCTCTCTCCCTGGTGGGCCCTTCAGCTTTCCAGAATCTGTCTGACCTGCACTCTCTGTAAGTCTCACTGTGCGGCAGGACTCCTGGCAAATCAGTGTCAAAGTTCTGTTCTAACACTTAATACAGAAAATACAACTTAAGTGTGTTTTTAATCGATTGCAACTGCATGCTTCGATGTTCTGACTTTCTGCGGCGCACGCTGTGCTTCAGGATGCTGCGTGGGGCCGGCATGATGCAGGACTTTCCCATCCTCACGTGGACTAATAATCTTGAGAGTCTGTGAGTGAATTTGGATCCAGCGTTGTCTTTATGCCTGTGACTTTGTGTGTCTCAGCATTGACCGATTTAGAGTTTTCATTTGCAGGACGCTGTCGGGAACCCAGATATCGTTCATCCCCGCCGAGCTGTGTGAGAACCTCAAGTTGCTTCGATCGCTGTAAGAGCCTTTTCCTCAGCAAATAATTGTTCTCACCAGAGATTTAAGATCATCACCAACTTAGTAGGAGAGTAGAGATGGTCGCAGTAGAGGTTCATGGGTAAACTATAGTTTTGACGCGGCTACAGACAGGATTTTCATCACCATTCACGCTAAAGAAATGTGCTGCACCGCTAACAATCCAACATGTAAACTGTTTGTTTTCCTCCGTCAGAGACCTGTCCTACAACGTCATCAAGGAGCTGCCGTCCTTCCAGGGCTGCATCCGGCTGCACGAGATGTGAGTGTTGAACATTTAGCAGTCAGTTCACGAGTCTGAAAGCCTTAGCTGACAGATTTTGATTCAAGATGAAAAAGTTATAAAGTTGCATCAAACAATTTAAGTATTGAAGAAAGTCATATGCGGGTTTAAAATCTATTTTCTTCTGGTTTTCAATCTACAGGAGCTTTCAGCACAACCGTATTCAACAAATTGATAGGGACACCTTTCAGGGTCTCTCCGAACTCAGTTTACTGTGAGTCCACTCTGTCTCACACACACTGATGCTGTAGAAACAAATGTGTGTGCGTGGATTGTGAGTTCACTGCGTTCTTTCTTCACGCAGAGACTTGAGCAGAAATGAAATCCGAGTGATCCACCGAGACGCTTTCCTTTCCCTCACTGCGCTCACTAACCTGTGAGTACGACTCATTATCATTATTATTAAGTATTGCTATGCCACCTCTGATCATGCTGAGCAGAGTTCTCCAGTCACATATCGTCACTCGTTTCTACTGACGTGTGCAGAATTAAATTGCTTGTGTATTTTGATTTGATTTGACAGAGATCTGAGTATGAACTCTCTGGCCGTGATTCCAACATCCGGACTGAGCTCTCTCAGTCAGTTAAAACTTTCGGGAAACTTGCAGATGAAAAATGGCTTGACTGCAAAAAACCTGCCCAAACTCAGGTGAGAAAGGAGTTCTGGGGTTGACTGTCGAGTTCTGTTATCTGAAGTGTTCAGTTTTTTGTGCTGACTATGTAAATGGAGACGTCCCATTTTTTTTTATCCCTGGGGATTGTCACTCACTCTTTCCTCATTGCATGCCAGCTCTTAACCGCTGCTCATTAAGATCAGAAAACGCAACCCCAAATGCCAGTGACTCACGACGAGGAGAAGGAGAATTTGTTTTCTAAAGCTGTAAAACCAAAAGATTGTACGAGCTTTAGCTTCAGGTTTGGAATGTGTCACATCTTTACAGTAATTAGGCCACAATTTAGTTTTAATCTCAACCCTCCTTGTGTATTTATATTAATATAAACTATACACTATATAAACTATACAACTCAATGATTAATTAAATTATTATTTTTATTTGTTTTGGGATTTTTTGTTTCACCCTTACCAATGTTAACTTTGTTAACAAAATGAACTGTATTAATTCTGCAGTGTTTTTTATGATTTATTAGTATATATTTTTATATGTGACAGACCATGAACTCTGCAAGTCAAATGTATTTGCAGACAAACACATTGTGTATGCTTTTCTTAATTTGTTAACACTGGGCCTCAGCGGGATGCTCACAGCCTTTGTGAATAACCATTTGTTGATTTATAGGTCCATCTCCGTCCCGTATGCCTACCAATGCTGTGCTTTCGTTGGGTGTGACTCATTGACGGGTTCGTCCGAGGAAAACGACCCAAAGAATTCTGCAGGTGGGAATGCAGCAGTCAGTCTTTTCTTTGTAACACTTATAGTTTGTTTTATTGACATAAAAGCAACAAAAAATAGAGAAAAGGAGTAGAGGTACATCAGCATATTAATATAATTCTTTGTTTCCAAACCACTGGATATGAGCTTGGAAAATTGTACGTGTGCATGCTTTTGTACCCCTGTGTTTCTATTTGCTTGTTTCTTCGGTTTGTTGGAATGTGCTGTATTGCAATTAATAACTTTCTGTGGTATTCCATTTCCTATTTTACTTGTGATGATTCCAAAGTCGATGGAAACTTAATGAACAAGAGTGTATTTAGTGCAAGTCCGTGCATATGTGCTGATACATGTGATTTTTAGTTTAGCAGAGGTCATGACCATTATATCTCACATGCACAAGCTTTACATATGTTTTTAATTGATGAAAAGATTCAATCTTTTTAGAATAAATTTAGCTGCCCTATTTACCCCCCTTCAATTGGCCCAAAATGATGGTCAACGTGGCTTCGCTTTATGTGCTTAGGTACCATTTTTGTTTAACACCATGACAAAGTAATCAAAAACTACTGTTGATTGTTATGCCGCAGAATAAAAACAATGCACAGTCACAATTAACATAGATAGAAGCTGCATACAACCAATTACTTATTTTGGCTCGGTTACTTTTTTGCATTAAGATCACCTTTTTTTACATGGCATTTTTTTCTTAATTGTAGGAGAGGAAGATGTGGAAAGGATTTCAATGATAATGCATTGCTCTCCTTCACCAGGTAAGCAGCACTCGGCATCTCAAACATTTTGTCCTTTAAATCTTTTTAGAAGAGCTTTGAAATAAACCCGCAAGAATATATTGCTGAATCCCGTTTTGAGCAACCAGATTGTTTTCTATCTTCAGGGGCCTTCAAGCCGTGCGAACACTTGCTGGGCAACTGGATGATCCGTCTGACCGTCTGGTTCATCTGTCTGGTGTCCTTGGTCTTCAACAGCCTGGTGCTGGTGGCCACCTTCTCTCCCACACGCAGAGCCGCCGCGGGCTACGCCCACTCCCCGGCTGCGCCTCTTTCTCCAGCCCGCCTGCTGATGGGGCTTCTGGCCCTGGCCAACCTCCTGACGGGCCTCTACGTCGGCGTGCTCACCGCGCTCGACGTGGCCACCTGGGGCTCGTTTGCCGAGTTCGGCGTGTGGTGGGAGATGGGACCCGGCTGTCAGGTCACCGGCGCTCTGGCCGTCTTCTCGTCGGAGTGGGCGGTGCTGCTGCTCTCGCTGGCGGCCGTGGAGCGCAGCGTGGCCGTGCGCGCGATACTCGGGAAGGTGATGATGTCGCCCGGGAGGAACGCCGGCGGCCGGCGCGGCTGCTGGAGGAAAGGCCGGCGCTTCGGCCTCGCTGCGGGGCTGCTGGGGCTGCTGGCCGCTGCCGGAGCCTGCCTTCCTCTCCTGACCTTAGGTGACCAGTCCGCCTCTCCTCTCTGCCTGCCCTTCGCTGGCGGAGAGAGTCCAGCGCTGAGTGTCACGGTCGCTCTGGTGCTGCTCAACGCGCTGGCTTACCTGTTCACCGCAGCTGTGTACACCCACCTGTACTGCCACCTGGGCAGGGTGGAGCTGGCCGATCCGGAGCAGACCGGCGCCCTGCGGCACGTGGCGTGGCTCATCTTCACCAACTGCATCTTCTTCTGCCCCGTGGCGGCTTTCTCCTTCGCCCCTCTGCTAACCGGCTCCGCAGCCGGCGGCCCGGAGATCGCCAAATCGGTCACGCTCATTTTCTTCCCGCTGCCCGCGTGCCTGAACCCAGTGCTGTACGTGTTCTTCAGCCCGGCCTTCAGGGAGGACTGGCTGAGAATACGCGGCGCATCCACCGGTGAGGTAAAGGCCGGAGCCGAGGGCCACGGGGACGCCGGCGGTGGAGGGTCGGAGCTCACGGACAGCGGCTCCTCCACCCACCTGGGCTTTGACTGCGGGATGTACTCCCAGCTTTGCGGAGAGACGCTCGTGTGCGATCAGTGCGAGGCCGCACTGCGTGCCAGGACCTGCTCCTCTCCCTCGTCCTCCGCGGTCTGCAGACACTTGATGAAGTCTCACAGCTGTCCCACCCTGCTGGCGGGGGCGGCCGTCTGCCAGCGCGCCGAAGGGTTTTGGGCGGAGAGCAGCACGCCCTCGGCTCAGTCCGAGTACGCGGACGAGGGCGACTCGTTTGTCTCGGACAGTTCGGACCAGGTCCAGGCCTGTGGCAGGGCCTGCTTCTGTCAGAGCAGAGGCCTTCCTCTGGTGCACTACTCGTACAACATGCCCCGAGTCAACGACTGACGCCTCTGTCGCCCGAATTTAGGTTCTACAAGAAAACTATTTTTATATCCAACAACTGAATGTGCATGAGTACATGATGCTAAGAAATTGGTCGACAAAGGATCTCGCAGCAGAAAATCTTGCCACTGGTGCCTGCGTCGTGCTTTTGATTGGATCTCTACTTTACCTGTGCTCATTAGCTTTTTAAATTTGACTTGTTAAACATCTTGTCGATTATTAGGGGTTCATAAAAGCAAACGTTTTGGTTCTTTTACATAAATGTAGCAAATGTAATAATCATACCAGACTTTTCTGAGTGAATTTAACTTTCAGGTGGTAAAGTAACGTCAGCTGCCTGCCTGCCACTGTAATCCAGCAAGAATGGTTTTAAGTAAACACCAGTCGATAATAAACATGTCTTTGCTTTAATTTACTAAGACTAAGAATGTGATCAAAGTAGCAGATATCACTGTTATAGCAACAGTTCTTGGTGGCGGTGAACAATGTTATTTATTGTTTAAGCAGCAGATGGGGGGGGGGGCGGGGGGCTCTTTCAGGTGGCCTTTGAATGACGAACATAACATATAACCCAAGTATTCACCAAAACCGCACTTCTTTGTTAAGTTCTAAAACACGTGTGAAGTTTCAAGTCAACATTTTCACTGGTTCGTTTTTTAATCCAGGCCCCATTTTTGCAGAGTTTGATTATGAATCAATAATGAATCGTCTCAATAATTAAAATAAAACCTGCTTTTATCCTGTGTTTAATAGGCAAGAGAATAAATATATATATATATATAATTGGAACAACACAGTACACTTTAGATTATATCTTGAAGTTTGGCAGAGAAAAGAAAGACATCCCCCAAAACCTAGAACTGTTTTTACACTTGTTAAATGTGTAGTTATAAAAAGAGTGATAGCTGACATACACATTCTTGTTTAAAATGTATCATTAAGCCAAGCTAAACTAAATAAAAATACCGTCCAATTTAAACACGTGAATATCGTCCCACTCCTCCACTTCCTCTAATGAGATGTGAGAGCAGGCGGCCAGCCGAGTCAACAAGAGCGCTTTTAAGCTGTGCCCTTAAAGAATAAAAAGGACTATTAAAGTTTAAATAAGCCTGATTATATTCAACCCCAGAAATTTAAAGGCCTTTAATCTGTCGAGTGGACCTTTTTTTACTTGAGGTGCTCAACAGTGCAGTGATCTTGACCAGAAAAAAGTGACATATTGGTGTAAAAAGTATAAAAAATAGGGCATATGGTGAAAATATGAGGATTTCTTTTTTTAACTAATTTATTGCCACCTGTGTTTTTGTAACCCACTTAGATATTAGACACTTAATATGTGTAGATTTCCCTCTGGACTATCGTACAGGCCGCCAGAAGAGCATTACATGGTACAGGATATTAAGTCGGACATCGCTTCACCCTGAGTGGGATTGAGTCTTGGTGAGCTGGAGAAGAAGTGGTGTTGGCTCTGAAGGCGGAAACGCCCTCTGAGCGTGTATCCACAAGCGCACGTCATGGGAGTGCTCAGGAATGTAGGCAATGTCGGGAAGCAATTTCTTCATCCAACAAGACATTCTTAAGATGCACCATTTCATTTTACTGCATTTTATTTTCTCTTTCCAATGTAGGTGTGAACATTTTTGCACCAACTAAAATGTCCGTTGATTGTTTGAGATTTCCCATCTGGTGAAACTGAACCATTTCTTCTGTAGGTAGGCTAGTTTTTTTTTTTGTATCTGTATGTAAATTATTTGAAAGGAAAACCAGTAATCGAGGATTGGATGCCAGCTAGGAAGCTGCCTCCTCAGCTCTAGTGGCAAACCAGCAGTGCTTTGTAAGGAAATATCTGTTCTCTGTTGTTCTTTTTGTTGACATCATCATTTTAGAGACACGCAAATTGTGGGAGGAATCTATGTACTGTATACTGTGATTGTATACTGTGATTTATTTTTAACCAAAATATAAACTATGACATTTTTTGTTTTATCTTTTATAGATACAAACCTGCAGAATAATATGGATCCCCCTTGATTCCCATTCAAAATAAAATATTGTAGTTTTCCCTGTATGTTCTCTGTTATTTTTTTCTGGTAAAGTAGAGTGATAATTCTATCAATTTGTGAATTAATAAAATTGAAAAAAATTGAATTTCCAGTTGACATTATGTTCAAGTTTTTTAATCCCAGCCAAAATGATTTTACTTACTTTACATCTGAATCCCCAAATCCAATTTTGGGACTGGAGGTAACACAGAAGTTACCGTTCAGTGCAATATTTCATTGCAGTTGTTTCCCAAACATCAGTCTAAGGCTGCACAGTGGCCTCATGGGAAGGCAGCTTGTTCTTTCAGCACGCGGCTTGAACGGTCTTAAACCATCTCTGCTCCGGAAGTGTCCAAAGACGGAACATCATCGCCTCTAGACGGATGAAACGCTGCGTCAAAACACCTGGCACATGTGGAGGCCCCGTAAGGCATTTGTCAAGTATGTTAATACTTCCCCGCTGACATTTATAACAGCTCACTTGATCTTTTGCAGCTGTACGTCGTCGGGAGGTAACAGGAAATATTTACATTGAGGGCATCAAAGGAGTAAATGCCAAGTGATGTTCCCCCCTTAGTTTCCATGTACCCAGTCGTAAAAAAAGGACTTGGTAGGTATTCCAGCGCTTCGCACACATCTCTGTGTGACGGGCCCATTAGGCACATCGCTCACACCTCCGGCTTTAGCAAGGCTTTGTTTCAGCTAGACACAATCCTTGAGCGCTCTTATCGGTTCTGCTGAAGTGTCGGTGGAATGCTGACTGCCTCGGTTGCTATGGAGTTCAATTTGGGGGAACCAATACTGCACTCACTGTAACATAATGCCCCAACTTTATAATATAATTGAATGAAAGCACTCACTCATTTTTATGACATAGTATACTATGACCTTTTCTGGCATACCATAACTTTTTAGGGTGTTCTATTTTCAAACATACTGTACTATGACTTCATGATCAAAAAAATGTTTTAAGTACGCTACTTTGGATATATTTCAAAATAATATGCTAACTAACAATATGTAACTGTAAACAAAAATCTACTTTCTGTGCTTTTTATGGCACAAAAAATGTGACTTATTTATGATTTATGTTATGACCTTTGTTCATGCTTTGTTCGAAATTACTATAACTTTTTATGATTTTTATTGGACATATTTTACAATTAGTTGTTCACACAGGACAAGTTTGGACAAATGTTCTCATTCAATTGAATGAGAAAGTGAGTCCAAATGTTTGGCTGCTACTGTGATTTCATGAAAGCCAACTGTACTAGGACTTTTTGACACATGTAGAACTTTTTAGCATACGTTACTACAACTTTTATACATAGGACAGTTTCTCTTAACGTTTTTGAAATTGAATGTGTATGGATTTTTTGTGTGGAATCATCCAACATACTATATTATGACAGTTTTTTACATACTTTTATGACGGTGGCATGAAATATCTTGGTTGTGTTTTGCATGCTATGCAATAACCTTGCCTCATAGAGCTTATTTTCCCGTTTATACGATAACTTACTACCACAAAGAATTACTCCACTACTTGATAGAACGACAGAACTCACTCACTTTTGTGTTTTTGCTGCATTTATTTTTACCTTCCCAAGCACAGAAACATCCAAATACTGAAAACTATTATTAGGACCAGCTAAATCAGAGATAAATGAGACAAAATAACAAGGGAAATTGCTACTACGCACATTTACTAAATAGTTTCATGAGTTACAAATGATACCAAGACAACAGCAATTACGGTGATGTATTCTAGATAAAGAATAAACAGTTTGTAATGCAGGTGAAAAGTTTCTGTGCGGGAGATACATTTATTATCTCTTCAGTCAGCAGCCCAAACCTCATCATTTCTTTTCTTCTTTAGGAATTTGAGCTGTAGACCAGAAAAAAAAATAAGTCAACATACAGAGGCCTTGGTTTATGGCACAAAGTAAACACTATTCAAAGCATTGATATAACTGTAGAAAGCCCTTAAACATAAACATATGGCTTTAAAAAAAAGCTATGATATTGCATCATCATTTACAGAATTTAATAAAGTTTTTATTTCTCCTGTAATTATATAGTTCTCAACAGTAAAGTTCTTGGATATAAAGGGACCTGAACCTTTTATAAACAATAGATCCATTTTAGAACAGGTAGATCAAATACAGGAAGAATTAGTGCTATATCTGTATATTAGTTTTTATTAGATAAAACAAAGGGAAAAGGATGATCGCTTCAAGTCAGTAAAGAAAAAGAGGAGCTGTGCGATGGTGTCTTCGTACCCCCAGTGAGATACTCACGTCGGACCTCCAGTTTACACTCCACTATGTCTTCTCCGTTGTCGTTAACTGCTTTGCACGTGTACACTCCTCCGTCAAAGGTGCAGGGCTTACGGATCTCCAGTGTCAGAACACCTTGTTTACTGAGCATCCGGTACTTTGCTTCGTTTGAGATGTCCATCTTGTTTTTGTACCAGGTGACCTTGGGCTGAGGTGGGACGGAGTGTTAAAGTACATCAGGTTATTCTTTTCACCATTTGAAATGCTGCGCAGGTGTTGCTGTAAGTGGATTGTAGGTACATTTCTGTTTGTTAGTGACTCATTTTTCCTCAAAACTCAACTCAATTAAAATTGTCTCCCTTTTTTCGTCACGGTAAAAGACGTCGGGACGTAAAAGAAGTCATTGAATTTGCACAACATGCACCTTACTGACCTTTGGTAGGCCTCTGACCGAGCAGCTGAGGGTCGTGCTGTATCCCGCTATGATGGAACGGTTCACCAGCGGATGCGTGAACTTGGGAGCTTGGGAGAAATCGTGTTCCTTGTAGGTGGGCGGCTTGTACTCGATACCTGGGAAAAGAAGACAGAAAGCCAGTTGGGTCATTTTTTTAATTGTTCCCTTTATGGCATTAAAACAGAATCATGACCGTTTGGTACCAGTTGTTTATGTGAGGTCAGAGGTCACCTGTTTTCTGGATGTAAGCGCTGTCTATTGAGGTGCAGGGCTCCTCGCTGGGGCCCACCATGTTGATGGCAAAGACTCGGAAGATGTATTCATTCCCCATGATGAGGTCGGATGCGACGCAGTTGGTTCTCCTGTAGTGCTCATAGACTGTGAACCACTCCTTCACAGGAATCACAAAAACAAGCCTCACAATCAGCTGATGGTGGATTTTGGATTTTAGATTGATGCGTTTGTGGCCCTTTGCAACACTGTTCCTGTGTCCATTAGTCCAACATGCTGATGGTGGATACATGTATACAATTACATTTAACAGCACTACCTCGTCCATGTAGGGATAGATTACCTCCCCTAACACACCCAATGGATTTCCTTATCTTGTAATGTTAAAAAAAAACATTTAAAAAATCCAGTCACAACATGAATTCATAAATTCAAGCACTACAAATGTATTCCACTGTTCGTTTGCTGTGACTAATACTACTTGCTAGTGGAAATGTGGTACAATCATTTCCAAGATATATTTATATATTAGGTACGGAAATCGAATATGGCCAGATTTAAATTGATTTAAATGTGAATGGCATCTAACAGGTACAAGTTTTTCTTTCATCAATAACATGATAATCTGCATCTCCAAGTATACTATAAAGAGATACAACTGTCATTAATCTGATCTAATTTTGACTCCAGTGAAACATGAAACATTAGCCGAGCGAGGCCACTGAACAAGGGCCCTGCGTCACCGTACAGACAATCCGGACCAGGTCAAGGCTACGCGGATAAGATTAGGACATTCCTGGCCGACATCGCTCCGGGCAGCTCGAGGTGGAGGATGGTGCCAGCTGGAGGGGGTAAGGGGGGGGGGCGGCTCACCAACATGCCCATAATGCAACACTTCTGGCTGACAGATGCTCAGCATTTGCTGATTACAGTTTACGTGTCACGAGGGAGGCTGAAATATCCCCCTGTGTCCAACAAGCATTCATCCTCACACGCACATGCGCGCTATTTCCTGTCGATATAAAGGACAAATGTGGCTTCACGGGGGTTCGGATGGTGGTTGGCGGGTAAAACTAAAGGCCTGCAGTGTACCGGTGTAAGGGAGCAGGAATGACAGCCCTCTGAGGAGACTGTCAGTTCTTATTTGTTCCTCTTGCTCCTAGTGACCGTGACCCGGCTGAAGTGAGGCCCAGGTCCAAAGTACGTTGAGTGATTGGGTTGGTTACTGTCAACATGGATCTAATGGGTAAACATTTGCTTTTTCCAGGATAGTTTTTCCGTAGTAGTTTTGACTCCTGGTGCTGGTTATTTCGTGGGCACCACATGACAACACCAGCATTTGAATTGTATATATTTTGAGGAATCTGGTTCTGATATGAATGAATGAATGAATTGGCATAATCATTAACCTACAATAAACATTTAAATGTGATATAAATGTAGGCCCTGCTGCTGGCACCTAGTTGTGCGGAGTCTCACCATGGTCTTCTTCTCAGCCTTCTGAATGGTGTAACCAGTTATTTCACAGTTGCCGTTGTCCTTCGGCGGCTTCCACTCGAGTGCCACATTAAAGCCCCAGTTATCAGTGATCTTCAGTGCCTGCGGGGGCCCTGGGAGATCTACAGAGGAGGAATATCAGTGTGCAGCAACTGAGCACAACAGACACTCTATTCCCAATAATACGGCTGTAGTTAATACAGTTCTGCTTACCAACAACCTGCAGTATAATACTGGCTGTGTCTTCGATGTTCTCGATCTGCACCTGGAGATCGTACCTCCCCGAGTGTTTTCTCTCCGTCTTGCGAATGAAGAAAATCGTATCACTGTCGCTGTTCCTCACACTCGCCAACTCGGGCCCGAGAGGCTCCCCGTCTTTGGTCCACGTGACCTTCGGCCTGGGCTTACCCTGCACGACCGGGGAGACACGAGGACAGATTTCCCATTTTGAAGACAACTTTAAGAACACTACCTGACGTCTTCTTTGCAGCACATAAACAAAGCCAAGTTAAATACACACGCCAAACAGGATGTGTGTATCAACATCTTTTAGTTAATAAATGAATGACAAACAGTTGCGGTGATGACAATTGTTTAATCGTGATGAATCATCAGTTACCGGTTAACTTTTTTGTAGATGAATAGTTACTCTGCCTTTGATCCTCGCTCATGTTTAACTCTAGTCACTATATGAAGAGACGAGTCGGGCGCTTGGTGCTTGAATGATTGTTTGAAGAAGGTGTATAATATACACTGCACCTGGAAATGAATCAAGAGGTTGACCGTCTCTCCAACTGTCTTGACCAGAGTCTGGCGGAGATTTCTAGGAACCCAAATTTTAGGGCGTTCTGTGAAAGACAAAACACAATAGGAGGAATTACGGCAAATGGAATATAGATCAAACTCAAGACTCGATTGGGAAGTTAAATTGAAGGAAATATTCCTCCATGTGCCATTAATTGGTGGGAATTAAAGCAGCAGAGGGCATGAAATCGACAAAGACTCACGCATTATCTCTCTGATGGTGACAGGTTGGGCCAGAGTGGTGGCGGCACTGGCTCCCGCCACGTTGTAGGCGCGCACGCGGAACTGCAGCTTGTCTCCGGTGGTGAGGTTTCTGATGACCATCGACGTCCTGTCAGTCAGACCCTCGAAGGCTGGTATCCATTCATCCGCTGCGACCAGGAAACAGCGAGAACACTACCACGGTTAATTGATCATGTATTCACTTAGCTGACAGCCAAGACTTATGCCTTAAGCAAAGGGGTTCAAGCATGAATCTAAACTGAGTAGTGAAAAATAAAAAAATCTATCAAGAAAACAACTCTAATATATTGGCCAGTTAAAATAATCACAATTTTGTCAATGGTGTGTAAATATTCAGCCTTTTTCATTTTCCATTATTTTGGAGCGTTTCCTTTGTGTCATTCTTCTCTTACCTGAAAAAGGATTCGTGATAGTTGTACAGCGCTGCCCTTCACTGCGGTTTGCTCATCAGTGCATGTAAACTCTTGATACATGGCTATAATAAAATGTCCTTATCAAAAGCATGCAGGCGGTGGGCTCTAACACTTACTGCCCTCCTTGCAGTACTCAACCCCATAACCCTCAAGCTCAGCCGAGCCGATCCTCTCCGGAGGCCGCCACTTCAGCGAGATGGACGTGTCAGTGACGTCTTCCAGGCTGAGTCCGATGGGCTCGCTTGTGGGGGCTGAGAGTGAGAAGAATGCAGATGAATGCCTCTGTTAGTCAGTTACAGCATTTAAGGAATATATAAAGAGCTCATTACTGAACAAGTGGATGAACCTGATCAGGACTATTAGTAATTAAAAAGCACATTTTTGAAGGCTCCCTGCTTTTGATTGAACTTTTACTTGCAAGCTGCAAGTTAGTTGATTCGTTTGATCTTTGAGACAATTAAGGCTGAATGTTGACTGTTTCTGTCCATAAGATCCCACCTCCGCAGTAGGTGGAAGTGTGGTTGTGATGTACTGTTGAGATTTAATTTACATCCTGGCCACAGATAAACAAAATAAATCAGATTGATGTATACATTTCATTGAGCGAATACTTTATCTAACAAATGAAACTGCAAGCTTGATCCAACACTAGTTAGTAAACAAGCCAACTCCCTGTTTGTCTCTCGGTCTTTCACTTGCTTCTTTGGGGAATTTTTGGGTGCTAATTTAGTTGTGTAGCTCGATGCTGGCAATCCTCCTAATTTACATAACAGCCCAAACATATCGATTTCAACACGAGGTATTTGTGTGTTATCAGTTATATTAGCCGGTAAGCCTGTGTACGTCATTGTGGGAAAGATGAGCTGTGCTCCTGACCTGGAGTTTACAGAGGGGCTGATGTCTAAGTGCGTGCTGTACTTTCCGTCCCGCAGGGATGAAATTACAGGATTTCAATTTGGATTAAAAGACTTTGTTTTAAAAGCTACGTTCAAAACATTGCTTTCACCACAGAAGTGCCAGAAGCAAACAGCCAGAGTGACAACAAGTTACAGCTGCAGCAAATAAAAGGCCATTCTTTCAAGAGAAAAAGTTAACAACCCTGAGTTATTGATTTTAAATGATAAATAATGATCATAAATGACTAAATCCCCATTTATTTATTTATTTTTGGGACAAAAACAAATCTAGTTATTTAAAATGACATGAAATAAAGTCCAAGTACTTTAGCAACCTTCACCAACAAGTAGATTCATAAAAATTGAATGCCAAGACATCCCATATATGCAAGGCCAGCTCCTGATGTTGGAAGTATAATAGTTTGCTGCAAACCCAAATAACAACAAAAACATTTGTTTCATTGTGAGTTCATATCTAGTTAACAATATATTTCCATTTTGTTTGTGATCTGCCTGAAAGGTGGTATGTTTTAGTTATGCCCTTGTCGTCACTAAGAACAGGACTCCGTGTTGAAAGGTAGAGGCCAAGTAGTCAGTGCAAATAAATGATGGGAGCAACTGTCAGAAGTCAAGGGCGGTGTGCATAAATTCAAAAGAATCTCAAGGTTGTCGGGTCAAAAAGTGTTAAGTAAGAAGCTCATTTACGTGTGATTTAAAAGCAAATCAGCAGCAGCATGATGGTGAAAATTACTTTCAACACTTTCAAACATGTACTCAAATGAAAAAACGAGATGCTGCAATATGCCACCGATTGTCCCCATTGCTGTCACACACTTACAAGCAAAATTAAGTTTTATTTCTAATCCCTAAAAACCTGCATCGAATGCAACATTTCCGAATGAATAATGCCTACTGGCGACAGGTTGTGGCTCTGGCTCAGCAGGAGGATCGGGCTCCGCGGGGGTCAACTCTGCCGGGGTTACACCCTCTGCTGGTGGTGTCTCATTCTCAGCTGCAGCCCCATCTTCCCCAGTCGGGGCGGCCTCTGCAGGGGAGGCTGCTGGTTCCTGTTCTACAGGAGGTGTCTCCGTCTCCAGCCTTCTGTCTTCCTCCTCCACCGGCGCCTCCTCCGGAGCGCGTTTTTCTCCTTCCACAGGTTTCTCTCCTTCCACTGGCTTCTTCTCAGCTGTCTTTGGAAGTTTTGTTTTTTTCATCCTTTCTCAGGGGTCGGCGTTGCTGCAGCGGAACTCAAGCTGAGGGTTGTGCGTCTCCGGCTGGTTCTCTCTGCTGCAGTGACAACAATGCTTGGGCTGGAGCAGCAGCCTCCACGGCAACGTGAACCCTTCTGTGTTAAGCAGCTGGTCCGAGCAAAGACGCTCGCTTCCAGGCCATTATTTATAGAGAGGGATGCCGTGGATAGTTTCCTAATCAGCAGTCTTACACACAAGCGGCCATCTGGATTCAATGATGTTGATTTAACCAGGTTAAGAACTAGGTGGTAGTTAGAGAGTCAGTGAAAGACTGGGCTCCAAAGCTGAACAATATCCAGATTGTTGTGTGTCTGGGCTGATGTGCAGCATAATATCTTTGAATTTAGGATATAAACAAGAAAGTCCATCTCCTGATTATGTGATCAATAGCCGACAAAAATGTATACTCTTCATTGAAAGGACCAGAAGCACAACTTAACTCAATATTCACCCATAAACAAGCAACGATTGAAAGTGTTTTGAGGTTTTAGTGATTAAGTTTCATCTTTAAAAACTCAGTGACTCTGCTTCATCAAGACTAAGTGATGTATTCAGAATTTGATAAAATTTCAGAAAAGTAATTTGCAAGTGGTCCTGTGTGTATTGCTTCATTCCACTAAAGAAGTGCACTGAAGTGCTTCAGGAGAACCTGCATGGGCATCATTCACGCACGCAGCGGCATTTTGTTGCGTTTTCGCAAGAATAAAAAAGTCAATGTAAATTGGTGCTCTTTTGCCATAAGAAACCACAGAGGTTCTGTATCTCGCTCAAGGACACTTTGACAGGATGATTCAAGGATCAAATGACCTGGGTCTAATATGTCCTCATCATCTTGCGATGTAACAGACATACACACCGCCGTGACTGGCATTACTCAGTAATAAACGGTGGGTCGCACCTGATCCAACAGACAATCCACAGGCTTCTTGGATTACAACGAGAACGTGTCCCGTCCTGTCTCGACACCAAATCAACGTGGCCCCGGCACCAGAGTTAAACCTCCGTCTGAGCACACCAACGCACTAAAAACAACCCTGCTTTGGTCAAAACACTAAAATCTCATCTTCATTTCCCTCTAACCACTCATTCATATTAGCTGGGGCTGGTATGAACCGTCGGCAAAGACTCACCGATTGGCACAAAAGGCTGCGAGGCTGGACTGTGGCGGGACATGCCGATGCCGTTGACAGCATAGACCCGCATCTCGTACTCCATTCCTTCAATCATCCGCTTGGCTTCATAGGTCGTTCCAGGATAAGGGTCAAAGTTCAATCTCATCCACCTGTAGCTCTTCTTCTTCTTTCTCTCCACCACGTAACCTGAGCATTAGATGTTGTCATCGACCGGGCTAATCAGAACGTTTAAAGCGGAGAAGACTTTGAAATAATTTGAAGAAATTAGGCATTTTTATATATTTTACCAAGAACTGGTTGTCCACCATCAAACGCAGGGGGATCCCACTGCACCACGCAGCAGTCCTCTCCCACACTGAGGATTCTGGGAGCCTGTGGAGGATCTGGAACATCTGCGGGTTGCATGAGTCGTGTTCAGAAAAGAAACAACAGGTTTTATCCCAAAACAATTTGACAAGATGATTAATGTGGAAGGACCGTCTCACCAACAACTTTCACGTTGATATCTGCAGTGTCTTCTCCAGCAGGGTTTCGAACCACAACGGAATAGATCCCCTCATCCTGCCTCTCCGCCCCCTCGATGGTGAAGATGCAGTGTCCCTTGGTGGTTTCAACATGGACTCTGGTATCTCCCTCTGTGACAACCTTCAGCACACAATAAGAACAAAGAGCAAAAAGTCTCACTCAAACGGGATTGACAGTTCTGTTGCAAATGATCACGGTAAAGGCGGCACATGTTACAATCCATGTTTTGTACATTTCAAATTTGAAGAGATTTCCATCTCAAAGTTCATTGAACTATTTTAGAATTTATATGTTTGAAGCCAACAATGTGATATGAACACACAACTCCAGATAATACCATGCAAATGCAGGAGCAGCTTTTGTAATGAATGTCTAATGAGTTGCTCAATGGGCCATTGTGTCAATGCACAGATTTATTTCAGTCTGAAATAAGTAATGCTGTGTTGAGGTCCTCTTTGCTGCTAAAAGTCTCCTTGCAGTGTAGTGCTAAGTGCAATTACTGCATAAACCTGTTTGATTTTACGATCCCAAAATGTAAAGATATTCTGCACTACTGCAGGATATTCCTCGCGTTACTCTATTTGATTACATGGTTATGTATTTGGTATCCAACCCAAGGACAATTTCCCTGAGTCATCTCATAAAGTTGCCATACAATAACATACTTATTGCCCAGTTTCCTTTGCCTTTCTTTAGGAAGATCCAGGACCTGCTCTTACCTTATTGACCTGGAAGGATTGCGACCACATGGCGTTTTTATTTTACCATTCTGTTGATGCTTTGTAAAAATGAGACTTAAGAGCCAAAAACACATGCACATTGATGTCCACTAGGGATGCTGTTTTTCATGACTGTGCATGTGACTGATGTTACTGCTGCAGCCTGTTCTTTCCCCAGGGTTGGAAAGCAGTAAATCAAAATAACACAATATGTTGAGTCAGTGACACATTCAGAGTGAAATGCACACAGTGAAAATGAATCCATTGCACTAAAGGTGAGCCTGTTGTTTTCTTTAGTCATGGACAAAGAGGTGGTAAGGTTATTGTCCAGAGACACACACGGGTTAAAAAAACGCCGTCTTGACAGTCACATATGGGACATGCAGGCTTACTTTCCCAGCCTTACTGGTCCAAGAGGATGCCGGCCCTTCTTTCTCTTCTCCATCGTGTTTAACAGAACTAGCCTACATTTGAGCAAAGCATAGCGGTGAAAGTGGAAGCGAACAGAGAGGAAATGTGTCCCTCTCTTTCTCCTCAACTCAAAGAAACAGCAAGTGTGGCATTATGGAATTAAGCAGTTATTAGCTTTGCAATACTGCCGCTTGGTTAAAGGAATCTCTGCATTCCAGGCACATTTATTAGCAGGGAAGAATGCTTTAGTTATCATAGCTTTAGTGAGTCTTGAATAGTGATATTTTCAGGCCCATTCAGTTTAAAACTGCCGGATCGGGTATCAGTGGCAATGGGACAAATATTTTCAATTAATTCAATTAATATGTATTTAATTTATAATTAAATTAATAATCCCAATCGGTTTCACACAGCGAGGCGAAGGCACTGAAAGTGGAAACGGTATTTGGTATCAGCTGATATAATCTAATCACTAAAAATAGTCGTAAAAAGAGTGTAATCTCATCAACTTCAGTTATATTAGAACTGCACTATATGTTGCTTATTGTTTGTAAATCCCCTACTGAGGCCTTAGTAAAGCTCCATTTGATTGTGAAGTATGCTTCGCTCTCAGGAAGCCTCATAGTTCATGTCGTACCAACCGTTGGATGTCAGACGATCCGTCTGTAAATGATCGGTAACGCAAGTCCGCCGTACCTTCTCTCCTTTGGTCCAGATCACTGTGGGGGCAGGGTCTCCAGTGATGGGCACGTCCAAACGCAGTTTGTTGCCCGCCACCACCACGATGGTTGAATCCGCCGTGCGCCCCATGCAGTCCAGGTGGATCTTGGGAGGATCTTGGAGAGGGAGAGAGTGACGGTTAAAATGAACAGACCCTTGCATTTCGCTTGGCTTTCTACAAGATAATAAGTTTGTGGTACCTTGGCGTGGCACATAATCAATCTTCACCTCTAGGACACAAAGGAAAATAAGTGTGTTAGAAATTTAACAAAAGCTAAAGTTTGCTTGTGAAACAACAAGTAAGTGTCAAAGCAAAAAGCATCAATATTACCAATGAAATTGAGTTTAGCCGATAGGTTGAACGCATGGCCATCTGGCACAAAAGTGTAGTCCCCCTCATCTTCTGGTTTCACCTCATCTATGGTCAGTTTGTGGATCCTAAAATGGTAAAAACAATCTTTTAATTTCAGTTCATGTTGTTGTGGTAATATGTGCAGCATATTAACACATGTGTTAAAGCGTCCTCACCTGCCAATGTGTGTGATGTTGATTCTGGCATCCGACTTGACTTCTGCACCATTCTTGTACCAGGTTCCTCTCACGTTCTCATCCGACACCTCACATTTAAACACGGCCTGATCCTTTGCCTTCACTGTGAGGTCTGCAATGCTCTGATAGACCTCCAGGTCTTTTTCTGTCCAATCGGAGAAAACAAACGGTCAGAGTTCAGATGACATAAGCCGTTCAGACTTCTGAGGAGGTGCTACTGTATGATGATATTCTAAAATAATTGTTCAGCTGTTCCATGTGAGGATAATATTGTTATAATATGTTGAGTGTTTGGTGTTCATTATGTGTGCTGTCTTTGTCTGTAGTATCTTAGCAACAGGCCAAAGGAGAGAAGTTAATTGTATTTTGGACAGTGAGGTGGGAGGATATAAAGACCTGAGCTTCAGGTTATTGCTGTATACCACAAGAAATGATGTATGCGTCTCATTAAAGGCTTCTCTAAGAAATATTTATTTGGGCAGAATAATTCACACCATGCCTCCTTGTAAAGATTATACAGGAGTTCCTTGGTGACACAGTAGTGTGAGTTCTGCCGAGGACTGAGGTGTCCATCGCACACACACACACACACACACACACACACACACACACACACACACACACACACACACACACACACACACACACACACACACACACACGCGTAAATCACACAAGAATAGACATGGAAAAGTGACACTGTACGTATATGTTCAATAGAAAGGAAAGCCTGTACACGAAAAGGTCAAATTGTAGTCAAAAGTTGATGGTTGTCACATGATGGTTTTTTTTGGGGGGGGTGGGGGTTGTGAATATTTCTGTTCTCTGAGCTAATGGTACTGGCAATTGGCAATGGTTAAAAATAAAGTGGGTAGAACTAGCTGGGGTTTACATTTTGCCCACGTCCGTATACGGATGAGTTTGAATCGTCCCCGTCCATCATTTTTAGATCACCTAATGAATTGTAGTGAAGTATATTGATCCACTTGGACCTTTCGCCTGCAGAACATGCCAAGAATCAGACTCATCGTTTACAGTTTCTCAGTTGAACTGAGGAACTTTAAAAATGTTGCATTGCAAAGGTCAACATAGTTTTAAACATGGCTTTTGTTATAAACTTGTTATAAATCAAAATGTCAGGCTTCATTTTTTCAGATTGCACATCGTTACGAAGGTTCTCTTTAGCCTTTTGAAAAAGAGGGACGCAAAAAAAAAGAAACCAGGTTGCCCTTCAGGTGAAATATGTCTTGCGTCTTCTAACTTTAGCTGGCGTGAGGACTTCTTGGCAGTAACCTTTGTGGGAATAATTCATGCAAATGGCAAGAGCCTCTAAACCCAAAGATAGATGGCATGCCGGGAGTGTCGTGACTGTTGCTGGGGAATGAAGAATGTACACTTGGAGCCTTCATCACTGACAAAGTGTGTCATATTGTACACAGCTCACATGATTGACACTCACCTTGCACCATGAGTTCAGCCATGGACTCGCCGCCATTCGTTTTAACCTTGTAGTGGCCGCAGTCTTCTTTTGTGGCCTCATTAATTATCAGGACATGTTTGCAGCCGTCTTTTTTGAAGCGATACTTGAAAGACTCGTCCCTTGTCAACTCAACGCCGTCTTTTTCCCTGCGCAGAAATTCACGGCCGGCTAAATCGTTGACTTTATTTGTCATGATTAGACCTTAATCATTTGTTTATCCAACCCTGGCAGACAGATTTGATATCTTAGTCCGTCATGTTAGTCAACAGATTTACTTTTGGGATGCATGATGGATAGCTTGAAAATGTGAAACCGGATTTGTGTGTGTAAAGGAGAATATCTAACCATTTAACGTTGGCTCCTTCCTCTGAGACTTCGCACTCTAACTCCACCCTCTCGCCCTTCATGACCATCTGATCCTCCAGGTTCTTCACGATCTCAATGGGAGGCTCTGCAGGAAACGGCAGAGTACGAGAGCTTTAACTGCACATCTCTTAACATTTTCTGGATTCATTGTATTGTAAAATGTCCTTGAATACCTTTAACAAAGAGCTCGGTGGTGCATTTCTCCTCCCCCACCACGCAGCAATATGCAGCATCATCTGCCAGCGAGCAGTGGTTGATGGTGAGGTAGCGCATGTTGCCGACGCTCTCAAAGATGTACCTTTAGAAAGACCAGGAAGACTTTACACACTAGCAATACTTTCAGTTTCAGAGATATAACTTCAAGAAAGTTGATGAGATGGCAAACATGTCGGGGGAATTACCCATATTCATTTGTTTTGTAGAATCGATTAAAATATTAAAACTTTCTTTTGTTGCCAGTTGAGACTTACTTGCTGGGGATGTAATTAAGGATGTTCGTCCATACATTGATGGAAGCAGAAGCAAAGGAGAAACAGAGAGCGTTACATAAAACAATGATTTACCACGATTTCAATTCTTCATGATGTTTAAAGGAGTTTCGATGTTTAATAGTTTACGTCTCCTTGCGAAATTCTAACCTGGCAGATGGCTGAATTTCTTGTCCATTCTTCAGCCATTTCACCTCAGCATCTGGATTTGCCACCTCAATAGCTAATTTTATCTTATGTCCCTTTTTCACTTGGTAAGCTGGATCCAACTTTTTGAGGAAAGCTAAGTTTTAAAGAAGGAAAACATACATTACAAAGTTAAAAGATCCGAACTTTGAACAGGGTTGAAATTAGACCTTAAGGCCGCTGCACAAACCTTCACTTTTCTTCTCTTCCTTCTTCATCTTCTTCAGCCTCTTGAGCATGCCTCTCAAGTCGGTAATACCGTGCTGAAAGGCAATCTTCTCATATTCTGAAGAGGGAGCATGGCTGAGAATGTTCCAAACATCCATATCCGGCTCTGCGCTCACATGGACCGATCTAATTCACCAACGTGAAAGAAGAGCTGATGAGGGCAGGAACACACTCTGCTCTGTCCTCACTTTCCTTTGCGTGTCTTTACCTCACCTGTCCACTAGATGCCATCAGCAACTTTTTATTTTAAGCTCAGCCAATCACCTGACAGCCTTTGTGAAGAGCTGTGTGAAGGCGTTTGGTAAATACCTTGTTTCTCATGTGACTGTATTTGACTTGTATCAGGACCTTTGTCCTGATAGACAAAGTGAGTAAAATGCTGTTCATAACTTCTTTCTTATCGATTTGAGGATTTAAAAAAACTGCTGCTCATTCAAAGGAAGAACCCAAGATTCAAATATGCAAAACAAACCAGACACGTTAACACGCAGCATGTCAACACAAATACGAGTATTAGAAACATGCATTTTACAAATAATAACTAAATACTTTACATGTTAGTTGTATAAGTTGTGAAACTGCATGCAAGAATAAATAACAACTATGTGATTCTGTGTTTCGGGTTGATGTAGTGTCCAATTGTTTGTGGCCAAAGGACAACAAATATTTTAAAAATGTTTACGTGTTGAGCAGGTTTCTTGTGTTTCTGAGTGAAGACTGCGCAGAGTGAGAATACCAGTGCACGTATTCTAAGAGAACACCATCATCAGCATCATGCCTAATTGGTACAAAGTGTTGCTCTGTTAGTTTTCGTTGTATGATTATGAAAGGAAAAGAAGAAAAATGCAATATTAGCAAAGACAAGTAAGCAAATTAAATAAGATAGGGTGAAGATAGATATTCATATGGTAAAAAGTTGGGACTTTTATTGATGAATAAGTATTTAATTGTGTTTTCACTGGCAGATAATTTCACTTAATCAGGGAAGCTTTTGCAAACAGCAAAACCTCCCTTTTAAGGTCATTTCCTGAGAAAATGGAGACATCAAGTCACCCTGACTTATCTTCAGGCATTAGATTACAATTCCAATCTTTAGTGCAAGTGCAGAAGTAGCTTACCCTCTAAAGAAGCAAGACGATCCAGAAGGAATAAGACAGAAAAAGATTATGAAAAGCTAAGCACATTACCTTATTCTGAAAGTCTAAACATGTTGTAATTTCTTACCTCTTTTTTAATAAGGTACTGAAGTCCAGCTCCCCAGAGTCTTCTTTCCCATCGTTACTACCGAAGAAATATCCGGCAACAGCAGCAAAGTGTTAAATAACAGCACAGTATGAAACAAATCCACATTTATATACTTTCATACAATAGTATCCTGTGAACTCATGCTCAATTATTTTTAAGTGGTTTGGAATTATGCTGTACAATGCAAATATTCAAATAATAGAATTAGGCTTGGATTAAAAAGGACAACTTGGATTGTTCTTTCCGTAGACGGAAAGAACAATCAGTGCATCGATGGATATAACAAGTGCACATACAGGCAGATGTTTTGCTGGAGAGACAAGAGTTGCCATGTTTAAAGGAACAGCATCAGGCACTTTGGGAAATGCACTAGGTATTTATTACGTTCTTCTGTTTGTGTGTTAACTGTAGAACCAGAGCTTAGAGTCTAGATTCACAAAAAGACTGGAAGAGGGTGAAAAAGCCAGCTGGGATTTTTATGTCGAGTTTACGTGCTGTTACAACAACCGAGCCACCAAAGGGCTTTTAACATAAACCCTTTCTGCATAAAGCAATAACCTCCCTTCTGTAAGACTATTACACCCTCATCATGTTTCAGATAAATAGCATACTGTCCAATTCATAAATAATACTTATGAATTGCTTATCTTATTTGTAAATCAACCTTATTGGGGAGTTTTGCAGTGAAGAGCTTGACAGGAAAGAGGGGGGGGGGGGGGTAGAAGGGGGATGCTGTGGTTACGTGCCGTTATCTTACCGCGGCTTATCTGGCGAGCCGGGCTAGATTTTCACCCTCACCTCCAGTCGTGCCAGATTAAATGTATCACCGCCTGGCTCAAGCTTCAATCTTAACACACATTCGACTGAGATCACAAGTTTTCTCCTCTAACTCTCAGAAAGAAAACGTTCCCAAAATGACCAATTATTCCCTTAAGCCATGAGCAGCCGTCCACGCGAGAACGTTACAAAACACTCAAGGTTAAAGAAAACAGCGACCTCCGTGGGAAGTGCTGCGCTCTAATCACCGGGATGAAAGATAAAGACAAGGGCATAGATGTGACTGTGTGCTTGTCTCGTGTCTCTGATCCAACAGCAGGATTAGACGCTGAGTCTCTAGTTTATGTGGTGAAGTTTCAACACACGATAGCTGCACTTCCTCTATGTGGCAAACCCCCCGTGGAGGAGCTCATTTGCTGAAAAGCCCGTGTGTCTTAGCACATCCTGCTCTTTCACTGCGATCAAACCACCGTCAAAGCTCACTGCGCCGGGTAGCTGTTTGTGCAGCTGGCTCTGCTGTTTTGATCGAGGTCCCGGGAGGAGATCAGAGAGAGCTGATGGCTGCTACCAGTGCTCGGTACTCTTTGGTTTAACAACCAAATCGAGATCGGCCCGAGTCAAAGGTCAACACAATAACAGCTACTGTAGTTATTGACTACGTGAAAGAGTTTTAATTTGAGTCCTCTCAGCCTTCTCTGGTCTTCGTTTTGTGGTCCATCTGTCAAAATTCAGCAGATTGCAGGCTGCATGATCCACAACACTGGTTCTGTTTGACTGGATTTAGAGAAGGAACGGGCCACATGAGAGAGATGGAGCCTCTCATTCAGGTTTCTCCGTGCTTCGACAATCAGAATCCTAAGCGTTTGAATACGAGCCACCATTGTTGCAACAAACCGCTTTACTACCTTGATTGTTGTCCACTCCTCTTCTTACCGCCTTCGTTCCTAATAGGTTAGTATTTCCACAGTTACTTGTTATACAAAACATGGTATTCCACCAAGGGTCGCTGACCAGGAGTTTGGCAATTGTTTTAATTTTTTACAGTAGTGAATAATATAACATGTATCATGTTGTTGTGTCTTACTTTACGCTAATTTGTTTGTTTTTTGTCACATGATCACAATCTCATTGGAAAGCAAACTTCATATTAAATCCATTTGAGATCAGCAGATATTAATTGAGCACTGGAGCAGAATGAGGAATCATTTTTAATCTTCATGAATAGCCATAGATTCCTCTTCGGAGTTTGTATTCTGAAGCTTTTTATCATAAGAAAACAATTTGAACCTTAGAAAGTGTAGAATGCCTCAATATAAGCTGGCTGTTTTTAGTTTTTAGATAAATATTATGTAGAATAGCACCTATGTTAAGGTATCTCATTGAGTGCATGAGCCAGCACATGATCAAATATAAAGTGATGGGTTGAAAGGTTTTGTTTGTAAGTTTATCTGTGCCTAAGGTCAAATGTCTTGCTTGAGACCTGCATGGAGTTAAGAGAGAAGCTGTATGACACTATTACTTGTCCTTGGATCAGAGGCCAAAACGTGAAACTATCGTAGAAAAAGATGAACTAACCAATCAGCAAATAAACAATTTCATCAAACATTATTTTTTAAGATTTGAAAAACTTACGTGCGCCTAAAAGCTGCTCTTATGTCAAAGCCTTCAGCAGCACATGCCTCTAAAATACGAGAGAATACTTTTAGTACCTGAAATTATATTAGAAAGAAAACTAATGAGTTCAACAAACAAAAAGCCAACTCACCATGTACAGCCAAGTCAAAATTGCAGCTGTCAAACTTATCCCTGGATGCAACCTCACATCTGTAAGCTCCAGCAAAGTTTGCCTTGGCCGCAATGATCTGCATCTCAAACGTATAGACCTGCAACCACACGCATGAGGAGAGAGGAGAGAAGGTTCACACACAGCAGCGAGGAGCCAATATCTTTGATTGAAAACCGTGTGCGTATTTTGTTTCATATTTAGAATATTGCCGCTGATTTTCCCAGCTAAATTTCCTTGTAAATATTGTTTTGGCGTCTTGTTTTAAGATTCAAAATGTGTCGATCAAACACATCTAAGGGGGCCTGCAGTTCATCGTGTTGGATGAGGGACTGAGGCAAGAGCTTGCAAAACTGTAGGCGAGAAGGGAAACACATGCAAAACATGCATGTTGCCTAAAAGAAAGACATAACATATTGCAGTTTTTTTTTACTAATTCCAGTGAGGATAGACTTGTCAGACTAGACTTGTCCTCATTAAGCAAATTAAAAAAATGCCACTTGCGTTATCCATCCATCTTCACACCGCTTATCCTGCACACAGGTGTCACAGGGGGGCTGGAGTCAATCCCAGCCAACTTCAGGCAAAAGACGCCCTGGATTGGTCGCTAGGCAATCGCAGGGTTACACAGAGACACACAACCATTCACATACCTACGGGCAATTTAGAGTCCCCAATCAACCTGATCCCCAGAGCATGTCTTTGGAGGAAGGCAGAGTACCCGGAGCTTCTTGCTGTGAGGCGACAGTGCTAACCACCAGACCATCGTGCCGCCTCGTAACACCTTAAGTTCTCAAAATACGATGTCTCTGTTCTTGTTGAACAGAGTCCACCGTACCTTGCTGCTGCGGTCGTAGGTCTCCTTGAGCTGCAGGTGTTTCCCAGACTTGCTGGCGAGATCCATCCACTTCCCTTTGAACCATTTAACGGTGGGTTTCTTCAGCAACGACTCAGCATTCACTTTAGCCACAAATGTAATGTTTTCACCTGCACAAAAGATTATTTTACAGCATGTTAACTCTATGCATAACAATACCCTCATATTGTTTTCTCTATATTTCTCTATTTGAAGTCACTCACCTACAGTGACCTCCCCACTCTGGGGTTTCTCTGTGAAGAGTCCAGTCAGGTCCTGTCTGGTGTCCGGAGGCTGTCCCTCTGAACAAACAACAACAACAACAAGGTCCGAGCAGAAAGCCGCAATATGAAGTTGAAGGATCAAAAATCAAACAGTCTTAAATCGAAATAAACAAATGTGTTCCATTTAAACTGCATTACTTTCATTCCTTTTGAACGTTTGAATTATTTCATTCAACACCCGAGGGTTCTAAGGCTCACGCACGTCCACGAGAGACTGTCAGGAAGAAAACCAATATGTGCCACTGTAAGCAAATGTGTCACAATATGAGACATAAATCTGACGGCTGCTGAGCTCAATACCTCGGCCCGATGCCAAAGTCAACATGTTCTGTAATGTAAATGCATGTGTCACATCAAACATACTGCGGCGCGTTCGTCACGTTTGACATTTCCAGTAGAAGTAGAAGCTAGAAGCAGTATGTTGATCATCGGTGACTAAGCAAAGGGGAGGGTGGCGTTACTCACCCTCAGCTGGAGGAGCATCGTGTGCCGGAGCAGCGCTCTGGTCCTCAGCAGGCGGAGCGGGAGCATGTTCCGGTTCAACAACAGTCTCCCCGGCTGCATCAGCAGGGGCCTCAACCGGAGCTTTTGTGTTGCCATAGAGATGACAAGAAGGTAAGTAAAAAAATGCTGGATCCCCACGTTGCATACCTGCATACAGGTAGACCGATGACCAAGCCCACACTTTTCTCATCCCACAGAAAATGTAATCTTTTTTAACTTTAATATTTTGTGGACTAATAATCAGTTAAATGCATGTAGAATCCATTTGATACCTTTAAACTCTTTGATGACGAATGAAAATCTGGTCGAAAATCATCACCCAAATATTTCTTAAGTCAAATCATCTCTGAATAGCTGAACATGTTTCCATGCATTATCAGCTGCCTCTCATGCCTATCCAGGCACCAGTCAAGTGGCGGTTACTCATGAGGAAATAATGTGCTGGGGGTCACGGACTGCGTGCAGACGCAGTAGGGGTGGCTATGATGTGGGCTGCAGACAGCTGTGGGACGTCTCCCGTAGCACACAGGCCCACTGGTCTGCCGCCATTCTGCAAGATTTGTTTCCACCTTATCAAATCCGAACAGAACGACCTCAGCGGGTCACAATGACAGACTAATGGAACAAACGTTGACGTTTGACACACAGTCGTGGCAGCATGCAGGATAGTGCTCTGTGGATGCAATAGAGTGCTGGACAGAATGATTGTGATGGAGCCAGAGAAAGGAAGTACGCAGACCCTCAGCTGGATAGTTTGTCATTTATAAAGTGCATTAAACAAGTCATGTCTTGTTTTGCACTTTGAGATGGAGGGTTGAACTGGTCAACTTGAGAAGCGCTGTTGTGAAGGAAGGAGCCTAACTAAATAATTTAGGTCTTTTACAATGGGGTTGTAAAATGGGGTTCATCCAAATTCTGTGTATTACATTTAGTGTACTGTGGTCTGGACTGTTTGGAGAAGCACAGAGTCGTACAAACACAGGAGCAAATCTTTGTCCTGCTGAGGACAGAGGCAGTGAAACAAATTTTGGGGAATTACAATAAATTCCAACCTAAAATAACCGCTTTACGTGTTCTGGTTGTACTGTAGTCTGCTCCTGAAAAAGACCGGGCGTGTCGACTGTCATCTTCTGTTGGTAATACACTGTGTGCAATACCTCATGGAACCCCACTTTTAAACACTCAAACTATTCTTCCAACAGCAAAATCTCGTGAGTGGAATCAACGTCCTTATCCGACATTCTGCTACAACGCTAATAAGAGTCAAACTCGTACAAATACTTCTTAAAGATGGACCATGCAAAGACGTTTCAGAGGCTCGTTGCTGAACAGCTTTCTGAGTGTGCATAATGTGAGGTCATGTGCAGGGACATTAAGTTCATGCAGTGCATCAAGTGTTCAGTGTTCTTATGCATTGTGCTCTGTTGCACCTGCATGTGAGGAAGCAGTGACCTCAAACACACAGCCACAGCATCAAAGTCTCCCACCTGGCTTTGATACAACTTTCAGGTCAAACTTGACCTTTGACCCCCCGGCAATCACTGCATAGACATTGGCATCCTCCTTGGTAATAGCTTTTAAAGCGAGGGAGTGCTTGTTTCCTTCTGCGGTGATCGAATATTTGTCCCCACTGTCAATGTCCTTTGAGTTGCATTGCCATTTGACTTTAGCATCAGGCTTCACAGTCTCTGCCTCAAAGACCACGGAGGACCCCTCCTCTGCTTCCTGAGCTTTTGGTTTCTTGGCAAACGCTGAAACTGAAGAGGGAATGTGGGTTCAAAATGAATAGCGAAATGATGAATAGTGACTTTTAACATATCTGCTTTAAGGGTGCAATCCAATTGTTTGAGGAGAAAAAATAAAAACTCATACTATAATTGTTGTTTCGACAAAAGGCAACAGTGGTTGAACTATAGTGTATAATGTTTTTTACTACAAGTAAGTTATCATTTTAGGAGCTTCAAGCGACAAACAAACATGACATCCGTAAAACAAACAAACAATACTGTAACAAATGGCAGCAAAAGAGAGAGAAGACAGAGAAGGAGGGAGGGAGGAAGGAGGGGGGGGTCTGAGCGCGGCAGCATATTGTGCTGAAACGGTGTTGTACTGTCTGCAGCACACTGGGTGGGGCTAGCTGAAAACCAATAAAGTGTCCCTTTCCTAATCAACACACAGTATCTTCAAGCAGCAACAGAATAGTGAGTTTGGGGGAGTCATAAAAGAGCAAATATTGAGCAAGGAAAAGTGGATTATTGTACAACATAGACATTTAAAAGGACATTTAAAGGTTATTCAACATCAACACCAATAAATCAGGCTGCTGGAAAATGTAAAGGTGTTCCTTTGAATGCCAACTGAGTAGCGGCGTCCTTGTAGAATGTCCATGTGTTTGCAATGTGACCTCTGGAGCCCTTCGTCAGTGTGTCATGCATTCTCATCTTTCAACAAAATAAAACAATCTAAAGAATAAAGCAACATTCATTTAACAACCGTTTTACATCACAAAGTACAAAAGTGGCATCTAGATGTATAAAAATGAAATGTACTCATTTTATTATATATATGATTATTGTACTTTGATATACCGATGATATGTTTTGTATGTAAAGTAATAATCCACAAAGTAACTACAGCATCTACAGAAAGTACAGCTCTATTCACTCGACTGTTGCCTTTCCTGCTCTGCTGAGAGGTCATTTTATTTTTTGAAAAGTTTGAAAACATGCATAGCAACACTTCAACTTTAAAAAACCTATAAATAGTGACTGGCACCCCTGACATGTGTCTACAGTAACGCAGGGTGTTTTGGACTCATGCAATGTATCTCGGCTTAATTCACATCCAGAGTCGCAAACAGTTCAATGTGCACAACATAAAAAAAACATGTGTTGCAAGACGACCTTAGGTGTTTATATTTAGGGTACACATGTACCGGACTAATAAATGAGGCTGGCAGACTGTGGCTGCAGCCGGGGCACAGGTATCACAGCCGGGGGATTAACTGGACTCTATTTCAGTGACTGTGGGGGCACAGAGTGGCTGGTGGGCCCTCCGCCTGTCTGCAGGCTGCCATCTCTCGCCGCGCCGTCAATCACTCGTGGCGCCGCTCTACCTTTCACGCGCTCTTATGACATTCACAGTAAAAGGTCGTCAAAATGTTGGGAATTCTTTTATCTTTTTACCAGTGCATTGCTTTAGTTAGTTGCACTGGTGCTGCTGGTGGTCACTGATTACACTGAGTGGCTCCCTATTTAGGTCCAACATTAATATTCTCTTTTACTTCCTTCTTTGTTCTCTTGAGGTAAATGTCTGTCTGTAGCTACTAGATGTTCACCGTGGTTTGCTGCTGAGTAGGTAACGTACGCTGGCTCTTTTGAGCTGAAAACAGCTGCGTGTCAGACAGCTAAACGATGAGGTTGGATCTCCAGCACGAGGCGAGCTACAGATTCAGGTGACTATCATCTCTGGGTTCATCATTACGAGTAACCCCTTTCACAGGCTCACATTGTCTTTTAATACGTGGCTATCTTCAAACATACTGAACTGTTTTTAATTTTAGATTTGACAGGGAAAACTATTTTTATTGAGATGTGTCCGAGCTCTGAGTTCAACACATTGAAACGCCTTGTGGTTGTTGCAGGGTGTCGATAATGATTGATAATAATCCTAATAATAAACTGTTATTTCCCTGAACAAATCCACGGCACTAAAAGTCTTAGCTCTTTGGCCCTTTGGGCAGCAATGTGTCATGTGATATGTGGTGTGTCGTCACTCCACAAACAACGCACTAAAACCCACCCTGGAAACTCATTTGTCACGCTGGAATCTTGTTGGACATTTTTGGATCACTGGCGCATTTTGTGAACACGGTGAGCTGCATTAAATCTGACAGTGTTGATTTCACGTTACACAATGTTTCCACCTGGATCCTGCAACGTGTCACTGAGTTTCTAACACATCCGAAAGGGACTTAGAGCAACTAACCGCCACCGGCGAACACTAAGCATGGATAATTGCACGTAGTATGCTGGGATTTTAGCCGCTGGCCTCTTTAGCAATTGAACTAAGCTACTTTATTAAGCCAGTTGTTGGTTAGAAGTGCTGCCAGTACTTGACCTCGCCGTCTCTATTGTTCTTACATTCACTACCTTCTGAAAGACATTTTACCAAACACCCTATTTCATCTTTTTCTCGATACGCGTCATAGTTATAGTAGTTGCTATAGAGTATCTATATGTTTTAAAGTTGCACAAATGTATTATTTGATCTGTTATCTACTACTGATATGTAAATGTCCCTGTAAGGAGTCAAGAATGTTATCATAAAATAAAGGTTTTTTTTAATATAAATTGAATTACATATAAATGTAATTCAAGTGATATACTATTTTGGCAAAGGTTCCGAATATGTTTAATTGGCACAAATACAGATTTCAAGAACATTCAATTTTGTTTATGATGAAAACAATGTGCAGATCTCGAGCGATCTCGAGTTTGCTCGTGGTTCAGAGTTGCTTAAGAGCAGCGTGGCACAACGCAGCAGGATATTTTCTCACGTCTATTGTAATATCACATTGTTGGTTTTCTCAGAAGAAGTTTATGTTCCAGGAGAATGTTGCACAGAGGAAGTAAAACATAAAACTAGACATTCAGTTGCAACATATTTCTTGTTAACCTTTCTTAGACTGGTCTGAGAACAGAATTAAGCTAACATTTTTTTTCTCACATGTCTGAGGAAACATTATGAAATGAAAACGTTCCGAAGTAGCTGAAGGAGCACGTTTACCTGCTTTTTTCACGGGCTCTGGCATCCTGAACGGTCTTTCCTCCTCCACAGTGGGACTCACTGTTCCTAAACAGTTTGCCGTCTATCTCGACCCTGTGCCTTTTAATAGGGGTGCTGTGTCCCCCCCCCCTCCTCCCTTCTCCTTTCATGAACCACTCCACCTCTCCTACCGTGTGTTTTTCTCCAAGGCCAAACACAGTATCCAAAGGAACAACAACCCCCGCCTCTCCTGCCCCGCACTCACAATGCCATCGCAACCACAAAGCAGACCCCCACCGCATCCCCCCGCTCACGTCTGACCTCGAGCTATATTTCCACCATCCTTTCCTCCAACACCTCGGCTGAGTGATAGGGGTCGAGAGGGAGGGGAAGGGATGTATGTCAGCGGTTAAATTTAGAGCTTTGAATCCACAGAAAAGTCCCCCCCCCTCCCTCACATCTTCACATCTGTGCCTCACCTTGTCAATCTAAAAGGATGGTTGAGAGCACCAGATCTGTGGATTTGTATGTAACTGTGAATCCCTTTAAGGAATATCCTCACAGTTGCAGACACCAGGTTCTTTTTAGACCGAACTGCCCAGTCGTGTTTCCAGTCGTCACGTTTGAGGTCAGGTTTGAGTGGAGCACACAGATGATCGCCGCTGCATTCATTCATCTGTTGCTTAAGTTGCTTCCTCGTGGAGTCCTTGTAGTAACCTTTTCTGCTGTTGATGGGTTTGTATTTTCTGACTTAGATCCCTAAAACACACAGAACCCATCTGATGCTGTTGTAACACGTCTGATTATCCTCCACTTGTTATATTACATTACATTGAATTGTATTGTGTTGTCTTTTTATTGTAGGAATTCTCTTCTCATCTTCTCCCCTGTTACTTCTCAATAATAACTTGACCATTGAGGGGGGCTGTTGGCCTTTGGGACACCAGCTGCTGTAGTATTTTTATGTTCAAGTAAAACATTGTGTGCATTACATGTTATCAAATCACCCCTTAGTATTTCAGTCTTTTTGTATCGTGTTCAACGTTAATCTCTGATGTTTTTTGAGTTTTTCTGTTATTCATATTGAGCTGAATTGTATCTGGGTGTATGGTTTTGAAATGTGGTGAATGAGTATAGTTAAGTTCCTATTTCTCTGTTCAAAGTGAGGTGTCGGGTGACGCTGATAAGCGTTTCATGTTTCACCTCCGACGGCCGATGTTATCACTTAAAACAACACACACAGATGTTTTTGAAGAATTTATTTTTTACAAAACGTATTTCATGTAAGTACACCACAGTAACGGTCTTACAATCGTCCTTATTGACATTAAGGTTAGTCCGTGTCATTCACGACTTATTTGCGTCATGTTGTTTTAAATATGAGTTCGCAATTATATATACACGGAGTAGAACACACGGCGCTACCCACAAGAGAACCGAAGCCAACACACAAACAGTCAAACACACCAGAAAGAAGGCCCGCGCCTACAGGGACATTTCACCGTCCCCCTCTTTGCCCCGTGACTCTACACACTATCAAGTATTGTTCACACTGTACAGCGGTAAACGTGCCATTCCTAAAACACAATTTCCAGAGCATTAAGTTTGATTAAGCATCTAAGCGTCTTTACATGCGTAAACCTTTCCTGCCTACATGTATTTTCTCTCGTGATGATTCTTCCCCAGCACCTCATCACTGAACTGGTACGTCAGCTTCTTCTTTATTTTTTTCACCTCTCCAGTCTTGCCATAGTTGCGTAAGGCACGAGCCATCTTCTGATAGGTCATTTTTTTGCGGTTTCCCTTCTGGATTCCCCAGCGATGTGCGAGAGCCTCCTTGTGCTTGGAGGAAAACTGGAATGTCCCCTTGTCGCTGTCCACCCACCAGATACTGTCTTTCATGTCGCCGTTCCTTAAAAGGTCCAACAGGAACTGATACAATCGGATCTTCTTTTTATTGCCTGTTGGAAACATCAGGGTCGCAACGTCACCAACGGGTATTTACTGCAGAAATGATAATGATAATGCATGAAGTTAAAATAAATGAAAGCCCTCTTCTTTAGCCGTGGCACCCTGATAGCGTCACTTGTATGTTTTAACAGTTTTTCACCAGTCAGCCACATCTGTCCTAAGAATTGTATTCTTGTGTTTCTAGGTACTGTTTCCTAATATCTAATACAAAGAAACTTTATGGCACAATAATGACTACAAGTGTAATCCTCTATGAGTCACTATTTCAGTGTTTTCCATATTTCCATATGGAGCTGCGTTAATAACCTACTTGGTGACATATTAAACAGTGTTTGAAATAGGTAAGATGTTAGATTAAACCTCTGGTAATGTATTCTATTTTTTAAATCACTTGACAAATGCATGGACCAGTACTGATCTGTTTGACCTTTATTTCTAATTGCACCGGCCGAATGTACAAGTACTGTGATTACAAGATTTTGATTGGACATCACGTGGGAGAGTCAAAATAAGTACCAATAACACTGATGACATACTATCACCAAAGTGCAAACAAAGATACTTGAATAAAAACCAGGCTAACTTTCCCAAAACCACTGGGCTGCAGGCAGTGCAGACACTACCAGACGTGACTGTCAGCTGGTCCTCAACTGGCCGAAAGAGGAAGTGGAGAGCGAGCGTGTCACTAAGCGGGAGACAGCGACCATGATTTGTGACAAACGTAAATTGTTCACCCTAAATATTGGCAATTATCAGTCATCAAGTGCCTCCAGAAAGTATAGTAAAGCAAACTTTCTACCTTCAGTATTCTTTGTCAGACCGAGTGGACTGCACACTGGATGCTCTGTGAACGCCTGCTTCGTGTTCATGTGTTCATGTCAACCAGAAATATTGAACACAGCAGCTGTGCCCACGGACATGCATAGATGATTACTCTCAGGTCGACTACACAAGTTAAACACGTTAAATATAAACCGGTGGTTTACTGCTCTTGTTGATGAACTCATCCGAATGTTTGTCATTATCATCGGATAACGGATTATCCGTGTTTATTGTGTTGGTTTACACCAAAAGATCACTGTAAAATCCCCAAAAGGCCTAAAAGGAATATTTACACAATCCACTAAAAAAACCCAGTCCACCAAGATCATCAAAAAAAATCCAGTTTCTTTTTGTGAATCCACTTCCGTCAAAAATGCTTAATCAGCAGAGTAAAAGCAGTTGTGCAACCAGGAGCTCATCCCAAAAGTGCATCTTAAAGCAGAATACAAAGCTGACATGGCCCTCGACTGATTTAGATCCTTGAGACGAAAGAACTCATTTATGTCCCGAAACCATTTAAAAGAACCTATAAAAAACAACATTGTCAACCTCTCCTTAAAGAGGTTTAAACAAGTATGTTCTTAAAATGTTAACAACTAATAAACAATCCATTTACGAAACATCAGTGAACAACCTGAGGTGTTTCACTAATCTTTTAGCGATCACTAAAGACAGACTAGTGACCTGAACCTGACCACAGCACATGTATCTTCTGCCCTCTCGTTTGTACTGAAAGAAATAGACAAACTGGTCCAAACTCCCACATTCTGCATCCACTTTATCCAACGTTTTTTTTTTTACATTTTCCACCAGGGATCCTGCATGAACATTGCTTGTCAGTGTAAGCACATGCGATACATAACACTGCATCCACAATTTCTACACTTGCAATGTCAGCTGGATTGGACCCGTTTGGTCTCACGGGCGCCGTACGCTTGACAATCCTGACTGAAAGCATGTCAAGTGACTCGGCACTTCCAGATATATATCGTGACCTGGACGATTGAGAACCCTCACATGGCCACCGCGGCTCTTACATCTTCAAGCGTCCGCGTTGTCTGCTCAGTAAAGAGCTGCACACGCTGTAGATCTTTATCCTTACCCAGCTCTCCTGGTGTCATATAAGAGACTCGATCCCTCTGACACTCCTCATCAGACACCTCTAGCGGGGGACTCCGTGCTCCGTGCTCCTCGTCATCAGAGCTGCGCTGGGACACGTGCGGTGGGTACAGCGCCCGGGGGAAGAACGCCACCTGCAACCCAGGAAGCAAAGGCGATTAGTCTTAGGCGATCGGCCCATCTGTGATGGTTAATCCATTGATTATGATCAAATTTCATGCATGTTGCCTCCAAGAAATACAGTTTTTTCACATCACGTAATCCGTAGTTCTTCGGTTGCACAATCAGGCCAAAAAAGTAAACAAACAGGTATAATTTTGTGGGATACAGCATGACATGTTCAGAAATGTATCGCACCGCACAACTGAAGGAATAAATATTGTCATAAGTTGAGATCTCACATTTGGATGGTAGATTTACTCAAAGCGAGGTACTTGCACTCGGTTATTTCTGTACCCTCACACTTTCAAAGTGACAGCTCTGTCCGTAGTCACAAAGTCACACATGTGTCGAGTGGGTGTCGGCTTCCACCAAGGTTTCTGCAGTCCGAGTTGTCTCGCTGCTGTTTGCAGACAACAGGCCAGCTAGAGCGTCACAGCTTGAAGCGGAAGGCCAAGTGATCGCATTCGCTGAGATGGAAGTAAGAACGTCTTGTTTTGAATGCAGAACCAACTTTACTTGCAACGGAATAGTTTGCGTGCGGTTTTGATATTTCTACTTAAGTAAATTAACTTAATACTAAATCCACCAGAAAGGACATTTACACCTTTTAACCCAACATACATTTACAAATAAATATCTGTATTCAGAGTCTCCCAAACGCCTCTCAAACAACCAAATGTGACACTTTAAGTGTGTTAGATGGCATTTTATTATCATTATTTCAAACTACATTTGGGCCATTCAGAGGGATTACATTGCTTCACGTGTTCTTTTTGTTTTTTTGCTAATGTTTCAAATTCATGTAAAAATCTGTGTTTTTCATCTTTTTGTTAGATTTTGCCCTACTTAGAATTAGTTAGTACAGTAACTGCTTGTTCCTCTACGTCACTGAGCTACGACACACAGTGAGAAATATTCAAATCCATGCCAGCTTTGTGGCCGTTTTGAATATAATTTAATATAATTACTGATCAAACAGATGGAATAAACCTGTGACATTGGTAAAAAATAAAGTTTAACATTTATTTTAGATTCCTTCTCTTGTTTTCCTTATTTTAAAGAA